CTTGTATTTGGCTGAAATACGGTAGTCAGGTTAGCTGTTGTACTTAGAGTTGGCATTTCTTTAGTGACATTTTGACCGTCAGTCTTGTGATTTGTTGAATGAATTCTACTTTTCCTGCTATGTTGGTCTTGATACTGATGATGTGCCTGCTTTGGATTGGTGCTAACCGGTGGAAACATCACATTTTGCATTGCGGTTTGATTCACTAAATTGTTCTGACCATGTGGGGGTATCTGGTTATAAATTGGTGGTGGTGGACGTATATATGGTTGATGCTGGTATCCATAAGGTTGGTGAATACTGGTTGGCCTGTGATAGTACCATGGGTGTACAGGTGGATGTATGTATTGAGGAAATCTATACTGTTGTTGAGTGTAACCCATATTTTGTTGCGATGATTCTAGGGCTGTTATTCTATGGTTGATATTGTTTATCTCTAGTTCCTGTATTCTCTTATATAATTGGCGGGTTTCTTCTATATGCCTTATGTTATTTTTAAGACTGTTCATCTCAAGTAGTTGGACTGTGTTCAGAGGAGATGGTTGTCCAGGCAGATGTTGACAGCAAGCTTGATGATGGTGTGCCGGTTGCATTTGCTGATTATGGTTAATAGTCTGATGGGGAACTTTTGGCTCGATACCATTGGAAACTGGACTTTCAAAGTCATTTCCTGTTACTTTCATTCTTAGTATCCTGTTAGAGTTTTCCAATTCCTTAACCTGTTCTTCTAATTTCATAGAGTAGGATTTAAGCCTGGCATTATCTTTGTTGCAATCTTCTACCTCTTTTTTTTCATATCTTGATACCATCTTCCTTTTTCTTTAATCGGATTTCTTTTTGCCTCATTTCCCTGTTGCTTAGTTCTATTTGTTTTGAAACTTGAATGTCCTTTAAACTGCTAGCAATCACAAGAGGGTTGGAATTATCTGCTGCGACTATTGTATCTACAGATTTTGCAGTATTAAGCAATTGTGTAGTTGCTGTAGAGTGGATAGGTTCCTTTAAATCACTAGACTTCTGTTTGGGTCTGATGCCCGAGTCCCTAGTATCTATTTGTTCGTTAAGAATATCTACTGCCAAATCACGTTCATTTGTAGTTATTATTACTAATGCTTTTGAATAATTAGCTTTGACTTCTAGCTTATCTGAGGTGTATTTGTCCGTCAAAATGCATATTTCAGTCCTATTAGGTATCTCTGGTGTTTGAGAGCTGTTACTTTAGCTTGGCAGCATTGCAGTTTGCTGTTGACATAATTTAAATGTATATGGGGAATCTTCTGGTTTACTTTCTAGGAAAGTTATCTCCTGTTTTTTAAGTTTGGCACAGGAGAAGTGGACCCAGTGGTTACCTGTGTTGCAAAGTATACATTTGGATAGGCAGGTTTTCTTACATTTTGGGCATTGGTTGTTGGCACCATCATTTTTGTACTGATGTTGATGAATCTTTCACTAAAATGTTGTCTGTCCGAGTTATTGAGGCAGCAGGATTTTTCTGTAGCAGGTATTCTTGGCATTTATTCTTTATGATCTCATTTAAATTCTGCAGATTTTGGTTTGGTTGTTCTATGGTTTTCAGTTCTTGGATGAATTGTTCTGCATGTCGCCCATTTATTTCCAGTCTGCATGTGGTATGGTACATGTTTATTCGATAGAGTTGTTATGATGGTCTCGAGGCCAGAGCTACAGATATTGACCGCTCTACTACCATCTCGCCAGTATCATCCGCCTTGTTCGTATGAACTAATTTGAGGTTCGGACTTGAGGCTAAATGGTTGTCAAGACTGTCTATAAAGACAAGAAAGGCCCCTGGTGTGAGTTCCATAATAATATTACCATATTTAAACTCTATTTTGTAGTGTTGGGATCTGTCAGTGGCTGCTATTAACTTCTTTGCAGCTTTTGGCTGGTTTAATTTATATCCCTGTGCTTTCTGTTGGATTTTTGATGGTGTAAATATTTGAGTCAGAATCCTGTTCCTTGATCTAGTTACTAATGCTATTTTAGGTGGATGTTGTGGTAAAACTTCTATTTGCCTATGTGGGGAATGTTTCTTGTGTATTATGGCCGAGCGTGGTGTTTCCCACACTGACCCAGATTTTGATATATGCTATATTGTCAGATAGTGAGTGCTCAGAGGATTATGCTTAGTAACTTATTTTGAGGAGATGTCTAGCGTAGAGATCCCCACACTGACCCTGGATAACAAGTGTTATGGAGAGACTACTATCTGGATGAATAGGAATTGCAGAGTTTGTGTTATAGTCAAGCGTGGAGGTTCCCACACTGACCCTGTGGAGGTAGTCAGGTATGAGGGATCACCAGTTCTGGCTAACTATGAATGACTTGGACTTCTGTAATACAGTAGTGATTTCAGTTCAGTGTTATAAGAAGGGGAAAAAAGACGAAAGTTTGGTTCATGGATCAGAGTTCTATGTCTGTAATGTGTTGACGTATTGTCAAGCGTAGTGATATCTACACTTACATGCGATGTTAGTATTATTAAAATCTTAAAGTGATGTAATCTTAAAATATAATATTAAAATCTATTACTATGTATATATGATGAATCAGTATGAGTGTATTTATTTATTGTGGTCAAGTTGTGTCTCATTTCAATTAGAGACACAACTTCAAAATACTAATTGATTCAGTCGAAGCAGACATATATATTTCCCTGGTCGAAGATTATGCCAGGCATGCTGTGAGGTCGTTGATACAAATTAGAATTTAAAAACAGAATGGGTTTATGAATACACAAGCTACATCGAAATTAAAGATTCGAATGTTGCTAAGAGCCGATCCTATCTCCATGACAAATCTATTGTTCTGTCCCCGCAGATAAACCCCCAAACAACATCGTTTTTGTGTTTCACAATACATACACTGCTTGATAAAGGTAGTAGGTATCGACAAATCATTTGGAAACTCAACATATACTCCCAACACATATACCAAGAAGGAAATCCTGAATAATAATGATATAGTTCTATGTTCCTTTGGAAATTTCAACCAAAGTATTGGAAACTAAATTACCTAAGTGTCCTTACAAACAACATTATATTGCTGGGTTTTCAAAGTGCTCCACGAAAGTTATTGTGAAACGACCTACTCTACAGGTGTGAATAAGATGTGGATACTAAAACAATTCAAAGATCTGTTAGAGTACATTATAATCTAAGTCTCTTTCCTATTGCAATAGTATCAAAACTTTTGACTTTTTTACACTTTTACAAGCATTCCCTATATTCTCTGTATTGCATATAGAGTATATATCTCTCAATTGATACGATATGCCAGAGTTTGCATTTCCTATCGTGATTTCCTTGATATATAGAAGGTTGCTGCTTACAAAGAAGCTATTTAACCCAGAGTTCCAAGAGGAGAAGTTGAAATCATCCTTTTTACAATTTTATGGATGAAGTTTCACAGATGAAGACGGATAACGTTCCAGTTGTTTTAGCCACAATACTGTCCTCTTTTCCTGGAATGTGACTTACCAAATTAGGCTGGTCACTGGGTTTGTATTTGCATGAGTGCTATATATGGAACAGGATCTGCTTACACCTCCAGAACACCTGATAACGCTCCTGGTTTTTTGTCGGGTTCGTGTTGCTCAGTTTTCTATGTTGTGTTTTGTATACACTTGTTTGTCTTTTGGTCGCTTTTTGTTTTTAGCCATAGCATTGTTAGTTTGTTTTCAATTCAGGAGTTTGAATGTCTTTTGGTATCTTTCAACTCTCTTAGCTTGTATTTACTTTCTGATTAGGAGATCCAATGCTTCCCAGTCCCAGTTCCAGTGAATTTGCTTACAATAAAAATCTTCATAGAGGGACTACCAAATTCATCCAAGTTTGAATCATTAAATATGATATCTCTGCATGTTGAAATTGAACATGATATTTTGTTTGGTCTCCACATGCTTTTCCCAAACAAATTGACTGCATACATTTGTATTTTAATAATCTGCAGTTATTTTCCATTTATCACTTTGTTTATGATAATCTAATTTGAGAACAAGACTAAAGCTTTACACTGCTTTTCTTAAATGTGATTTTTTGTTTTAACTTTGCACAAAATATTCTATAAGTCTTACTTTTATACCTTTTACTAAGTTTTATAAAAAATAAAAACCATATTCAAAGATAATGTATATATATATATATATGTAGGACTCTGAACCGCGATGGTCACGCTGAGGTGCGATGGTTTGTCGTTGAAGTGTGTGTTTTTTATGAAGCTGAAGTGCCATGGTGGCATTGTGATGCTATCTTGTTGATAGCTACGCCGAAGTGTGATGGTCTACACAAATTACATTTTCAATGCTTTTCATGTCGATGTAGAAGTCAATTTGTATGTTAGAAGCAGTTTTCCAAGTTTTTAAGTTGATAAGGGGCTTATTAACTTAAATACTACAAGAAACAGGGAGGATTGGTGGATATGGGAAAGTCAACATTTTGTAGCGAATTTTTTTCGAAATCTACAAAAGGTTCATTTTTACATTCTATGGAGTGAGAAAATCTCTAAAAACATACTGGTCCGTAGACAGACTATACGTGTTATAATATTATGGTAAACGAGGAACTCATGATAAAATGTTAATGCAGAATTATGTCCACATGTAGAAAAATCAGAGAGGACTATCTTTCATTTAGTATGCAATTGTAATTAGGACAGACATATACAATAATAAATGTAAATTTATTTACTAACTATTAAAAAAATCTACATGTTCTTCTCGTAATTATTGTACATCTGTAAATTTTAAACTAGCCATCATGCATCAAATAGACCATCACATTTCTGTATAGACTATTGCACTTCAGCGTGACCATGATGACACACCTCCGAGTTCTACATATATATTCTATATAACAACATGTTATCCTGTCAGATTTGTTCAAAATTAAAAGTAATAAAAGTTTGTGGCCTTTAGACAAAGGAATAAAGTGATACCCTGGCAAAATATTAATATGGGAAGGAAACAAACAATAATAGCAAGGTTCTCTAAAAAAACTTTAATGATAACGGACGGAGAAAAACAATTAATATCACATAATCACAAGTCATGGTCAATAATAAACAAATATAACAAACAATTCAAACAAAACACTGTACTAACACAGGGTGCACTTTGGCTCAATAATTATTATTACCATGGAAACAATATATATGTCTAATTGAAATGAAAGTTTATTTATAAATACTGTTTTCCAGAGTTACAAATACAAATGACTCTCCTTATCTGTAACTTTATATCATTTAAAAATTCTTGTTATCTCAAAGTAATATATCTGTCCCAATTGATAGATTTGCTTTGAATTTACTTCTTATTTAACAAAAATCGTCTTATTCCAAATTATTATTGTCAGTCCAATCAACTTTGAAATGATGAGAATCGACTGTATATGTAAAATAAATTTTGATACATTAGTTCACAATTTGTCATTCTGGGGCCTTATATAGCTTACCATGTGGTATGGGTTTTGCTCATTGTTGAAGGCTGTACAGTGACAACTAATTGATTACAGCCTCTACTTTGGTCTCTGGTAGATAGTTGTCATATTGGCAATGATATACCACATTTTTTAATTTTCATATTAAATTTCAAGATAAGATTCGAACTGTTTTTTGGTCTTTAAATATAAATGTAACCTCTACCATTAATAGTAGAAGGTCAATCTTTTAAACTTTATCAAATTCTCATATTCTCTCTGAATATGCTGTTAACATTCTACCATCAGTATCTTTCTAAAATCTACTAACATTCATAAGATTAGGATGATTTATTATAATGATCAGCAAGTCTTTTCACAAAATATTTTACCAGAAATATTACTCATAAGTCAAGAACATTTCATTATAATTTAATTTTGGATGTAATGCGTCTTCTGATTGGCTGACGTTGTTTTGTTTATCAGCTCATAGACATAATTTTGTCATGTGACCGTGACGTCATTAACGTTTTTTCATGGTTTACTACGGTTTAAAATGGAATTTAGAATTAAATTATAAGAAATGACTGTAATATTTTTTCTGTCTATTCGAAATAACATAAAAAATGTGGTGCACACTTTAAAATAACCCGCTACGCCGGTTATTCAGTGTGCACCACATTTTTGATGTTATTTCTTCATAGACAGAAAAAATATTATAGTCATTCCTTAAATAACGTACAATCAATTTTTGTTGTAAGATGTTTTGTGAAAAGAGCCACAGTTCTAGTTTGAATACCAAGGTACAAACAAATTAAGGAAGCTGAATGAACTTATATGGCTTAAATCAACAAGTTTCTTCTAACCAGAGTCTAAAAATCTCATTGCAAAATATTTCAAATCAATAACTTCAGCATTACACACCATTTTCCTCCAATGGTTCACTTATTTAAAGTTGATGTTGAAAAATCTGGACAAAAGTGCTTTAAGAAGTCGATTGCATGCTTAGACAATTTGTTTCAGGTAAGTTGAGTCCCCATTGATTTTGTGAAAACCAATAATTCAACCAGACATTCTTATCAAAAAGGTAATAAAACAAGTTATACATCATATCTATGAAAAACCATAAAATAAATGTTCGACACACTTCTTGCAGTACTCTACATATGGTTCACATTTCAATTATTATTTCAAAATAGTTCATATTTCAATAAATTATTAATTTTATCATCCATAAAAAAACTTGGTCCGACTTCATTAAATAACAAAATATTTACATGACTCTCCTCCAGCAAACCAGCACTAGATAATAAAGTCTACAAAAATATGCTATAAAAACAAATAACGTGGTTTTTAAACAAAGCAAATGAATGCAAAACTTTGTAGAGTATATCAATATAATATATAAAGATAGAAAATATTCAGCATAGATCCTCTAATCTATAAGATATAGAGATCATAGTTATTAGCATTTTTAATTTCATTTGACTTCTTTTATTATTTCTCTCATTTTCCATGAAAGTTGTTGAAAGGAAGTTTTATTTTTGGTAAAATTTTAACATAATTCACAAAACTACTAAAATCAATCTGTGGACCTAAGCGAAAAATCTCAACAGAAAAAAAAAAGAATTTTAACATAGATTATATCTTAATTGAAACAATCATTTCATTTCTTTTCATACCCATGCTGGGTTTTAAATTTCTGCAAATAAAACTTCAATGTTAAAATGAGAATATCACTTTTGAAAAAAATACAAAAGTTTAAAAAATGCTAGACAATATTGGATGACTGAAATACACATGTCAAATAACTAGACAAAAAAAAACAATCTACAGAAATAAAACAAAAGTTATATAAAAAATAAAATGACTTAGAGTTTAATAATACTGTACCAAACTAAAATGAGCATTAACCTATAAGGTCAAAATAAATTTTGAGTACCAAACATCTACCTTTGTATTGTTACATTTCAGCACTAAACGAGTAGACTATATCATTCTATTAATTTTATCAATGAAATATATAAATTAGAACTTGAATAAACTATTAACAATGAGATATGTCTTGCCTTTTTGTTATTTTGATAGTAAAATGCAAATGTTGAAATTAAAATAGCAATACTTGTAAGCTATGCAAAATATTCAAAGTCAATGAACCATGACTGAAGATACAAGGCCAAACAATCTCCATGGAAATGAGATGTGCCAATGTTAATACAACTGCATACTAAATATCATTGACCTGCCACTAGTGGTTCCCCATAAACAGACCTAACCACAAACTAATACATGTAAACTAAGCAAAAGTTTCAAAGTCAATAGACCATGACTGAGGGGGCAGGGCCAAATAATCTCCAATGAAATGAGATGTGCTAATGCAAATACAACTGCATGCCAAATATCATTGACCTACCATTAGTGGTTCCCCATAAACTTACCTAATCACAAACTAATACATGTAAGCTAAGCAAAAGTTTCAAAGTCAATAGACCATGACTGAAGAGGTGGGGCAAAATAATCTCCATGGAAATGAGATGTGCCAATGCAAATTTTAAGTGCATTCCAAATATCATTCACATACCACTAGTTTTTCCCCATAAACTGACCTAATCACAAACTAATAAATTTTTTATGCTGCTGTAGCAGACGCCGGAAACGGCATACCTATGTCTCGCTTTTTGATGCCGTCAAGGCAAGACAAAAATGACTCCAGTATTTTTAATATGAGGAACCAAATAACAGATATTAACTACTTCTTTAAGTTCTACACCAAATTATCTCCCTTGAAATACAAACTTTAAGATGGTTATCAGTACTTGTAATTGTTTATCATTCATATCTTAAATAATTTAAATCCTGGTTTTGAATTTGAAACATACAATTCTGCATTACATGGTAAATCAAAAGCTTTAATTATAGAAATTAATGATAAACGTTAATCATCTGATAACTATTTTGTGTTTTTATCTCTTAAACATAGATAAGTATACGATTAACACATTAAGACATGTATGTGCCTTGCAAAAAAAAACTTCTGTAAATATATTTAAACTTTCGGATAAAAAAATGTATCAAATGATTAACATATGTATAAGAAAGACTATACAAGTCCCAGTACAAAATATGACATTAATTAAATGCTGAAATAAATAAATTGTACACTATAATAACAAAACCAACAAAAACTGAAAATAATAAATAAAAATCTGGAATATGACAACTTGTTGTCTAAGTCAGATCAAATTAAAGTATTACTATTAAGATAACATACATGGTATTGTTTCTACAGTTTGGCTGTTTAAAGTAAAAATGTAAATAAACACAAGTGCAGTATTTATATACATAAATTGTGCTAGTACAATTGACTACAGTTTTTATCTTTCACAAATATTTAATAATAAATGTATTTTAAACTTTACAAATGAAAAATGACATTGCAAGACTATAAGGTTTTCTCTCCATTCCAGTCAGTTTTGGTGTCTTATTGCTTAAATTCTTAGTGAAACTAACAACAAAATGCAGATTTCATAACTTATTTTTTTTTAAATGTCTGTTGAATCGCAAAAAACAATCAACATACCCTTCACTGTTAAAATTGATAAGGGGAGATAATTTTTATTTGTTATCCTACTGCATTCAGATAAAAAAAAAATTGATAATTTTGGATGGAAAAAATGAAAAATGACCTGTAAGACTATAAGGTTTTCTCTCCATTCCAGTCAGTTTTGGTGTCTTATTGCTTAAATTCGTAGCGAAACTAACAACAAAATGCAGATTTCATAATTTTTTTTTTTTTTTAAATGTCTGTTAAGTCACAAAAAACAATCAACATACCCTTTACTGTTAAAATTGATAAGGGGAGATAATTTTTATTTGTTATCCTACTGCATTGAGTTAAAAAAAAAAATGATAATTTTGGCTGGGAAAAAAAAAGAATTTTTGTCATTTGAAATATGAAGAATCACGATGGTTGAAATATATATTTGATGGTTGATGATCATGATTAAAGTGATTGTTTCGTTATTTTTTTTTCCAGAAATTTTTGTACTTGCTAAGGACATTGTATGTAAACCTGCCACTGCACACTTACAATACATGTACGTACTATCAGAAGATTTCAAATGTAATAAAAGTACAAAATTGAGCATTTACCATTTGTGAATTGATTTGATCAATATTTCTGCTAAAATTCACAAATTCTTCCTTTACATCTTAAATCATTTATCTGATCATATAAACAATTCTATTAAACTTTCCTTAGTTTCTGAGAAAAGAATTTTTCTTCAGAGAATTTCATATTCAATTTACCTCTCTTGGTAGGTCTGTAATCTGTTCTCTGATTAGTTAATAAATTCCTACTTTCTTCAATAAAAAAATATTTTAAGAGAATTATCTTTCCTCAAAAAAAAAGTATAGCAAAGTCAGAAATGTTAGTTTTGTTTTTCTTAGTGCGAAAATACAATTGGGTAAGAATCACTCATATTTTGAATTTCAACTGTAGGTCGAAAAAGAACACACTATTAGATCAAAGTATACTACCAGCATTTATTTCAAACACTCTCTGGCATAAACACTGTTACGGAATGTTATATCTTAACCACTGTGATAACAAGTGTTGTAAATCAAATCAGTTTATACATATAACAAAATTTGTGGAATGCTTAACTGTATTAAGAAATTTAAGAAAAATAAGTCCATCGATATGGACATCTGTTGCCTGTCTCCAAACAGTTAGACATGATAGGGAAATGGATAATATGTCAAATTAGAACCAAACTTGCGTTAAGTGTTTATATAACATCGAGTTAAAATTTCCAATGATTTGTTTAATATTCACAAGTTTTTGAACAGAAACCATAAATTTTTCTATTTACCAAATTATTTGGGGCAAAACTCAAGAACCAAAAATGTGTAAAATTTCGAAGCAGCAAAAAAAATCCCCAAATGATCTGTCGAAAGTGATATATAGTGCATGAATGGTGCTTAGTGATAATTGTAACAGAATTAACAATAACAAAAATGGTATTCAATCATTATCTGCTCTTCTGTACAGAAGGTGGTGCTGTCACAATGTGTTGTATCAATTTGTCTCTTTTCATCAATTTTACAAGGACAGAAGAACTATTGATGAGGTTATATAACACTTGTATGGTCAACGTTTCTTTTCATCTTCTTTATGAGGCTAGAGTAACTATTGCTGTTTACAGTGTTATGGCAATGTTTCTATTCATCAACTTTATGTGGATCAACTACTTGGAGTAACTATTGATGGTACCAGTTTAAATGTCACGGTTGACCGCAGCTTCATAAAATAATGATAGTAAAACTTAAATGTTTTGTGGTTATCTATATTTGTTCTTTATATAATGTCTTCAGTCTTCTTTATAATCTTTCAAGTAACAGGACATTTGATAACACTGACTTCCAAGAGCACGCTAAGAACAACGAAAACGATGTACAGAACCAACATTGATGCTCCTAATGGCTTACTCATTTTCCACTTCGATATAGCTATCGTAGCAATCACAGTGATGAGCATAACAAATAACAAGAAAATGGAACAAACAAGTCCGTTGCTATTTACATCAACTGAACCTCCGTTGATGGCCAAATATATTAACCAAGGAATCGGCAATCTGAAAAGGAGTAAGAAAAAGAATTTTACTCAAAAGTCCTTGATGAGTTAATTATTATAGCTGAGTTTTTACCCTCTCTCTTTCAACTGGAGCTTTTCAAGATAATTAAGGCAAAAATTATAAACACCAAGTTATATAACTAAATATCAAGTATATCAATATTTGACCCAGATAAGACTTTTTCATATATGCTCATGAATTAATTTATATTTCATAGTTTAAGTAGTTTAAGCCATTTCAATTGATATTTTATAGTGTGTCTTTCTATGTTGTGATGTTACACTATTGTTTCAGATAAGGGTGAAGGTTTGGTACCATTAAAACGTTTAAACCCGCTGCAATTGTTTGCACCTGTCCTAAGTCAGGAATCTGATGTTCAGTAGTTGTCGTTTGTTGATGTGGTTCATAAGTGTTTCTCGTTTCTCGTTTTTTATATAGATTAGACCATTGGTTTTCCCGTTTGAATGGTTTTACACTAGTAATTTTTGGGGCCCTTTATAGCTTGCTGTTCGATGTGAGCCAAGGCTCCGTGTTGAAGACTGTACTTTGACCTATATTGGTTTACTTTTATAAATTTTGACTTGGATGGAGAGTTGTCTCATTGGCATTCATACCACATCTTCTTATATCTAATAAATCAAAGGTAAATTTTCCTCAATAAAAATAAGTTTGAAATGTCCTGTTTTTTCCTTTTTTGCTATGTAAATTGTAAATATTGAGTTTTTTAATCTTTGTATCACAGCTTTGAGACATAAGCAGAATTTATAAGCACACGATGTCAGCGATGTATGAATATATGAGAGCAGAACTAATCAACCTGACTTTCCTTTGAATAACAAAGGTTAAAGTTGTTAAAGGAAGGTAGAAAAGACCATAAATGGCATGATACAGATTATATGGTTATAGACATTGTTAAATATCAGCCACTTGACACAATGTCAAGCCTTTTCCTTAACTGAGCCAACTTGCCAAAAGGGTTCACATTGTGACTGATATATATAGATTATAACATGGCCTTTTTCATATCAGACCCCTTATCAGCCCTAGGTCATGTTATCAGCCTGAGAGCCGACAGGCTCGAGGGATGATTTTGACCATGGGCTGATAAGGGGTCTGATATGAAAAACGACATGTTATGTTCTTTTTATCATATACTTCAGCAGAAGACATACAGACAAAACTATTTTTAAAACTTTGAAACAATGCATTTGTTGTAATATTTGTTTTGTATTTTTTAATAATATATTTTCCTGATTATTAATATTTTCTTTTTCTCCAACTTTGTTATGTTTTACTAAAAAAAGAACGTACCATTGAGGTACATTTTCCGGAATTTGCCGAATGACGTCGAACTGTCATGCGATAACTTTACAGAAAAGCATGCGATAATAACCGGAAGCAGTTGATATGAAACGGAAGCAGTTGATATAAACCGGAAGCAGTTGATAGCAAAAGTCATATCACACGACTAAGGCAATTCTTCAAATTTAATGAATAAATATATGTACAAATAAGTTTTATCATGGGGTACAATTATACCATTATTTTCTATAAGTATATGATAATTTACTATATCAATGCACAGAAAACCTGTATTTATCACTGTGCTACAAGTGTTATGATATAACTTAGCAGTGAATGATCTTCTAAAGTGAACAATTACTAATTTATCTTACCCTACTGTAATATCAAAAATATTGCTTCCCACAGAACTGGATACAGCCATGTCTCCAAATCCTTTCTTAGCTACTATTACACTGGTAATGAGATCGGGGATACTGGTACCCGCTGCTATTATTGTCAAACCCATTATCTAAAAAACAAGACAGGTAATATAAAATCAAGGGCACTGTTACCCACTGATATTATTGTCAGAACCATTATCTAAAAAACAAGACAGGTAATATAAAATCAAGGGCACTGTTACCCACTGATATTATTGTCAGAACCATTATCTGAAAAACATGACAGGTAATATAAAATCAAGGGCACTGGTACCTGCTGCTATTAATGTCAGAACCATTATCTGAAAAACATGACAGGTAATATAAAATCAAGGGCACTGGTACCTGCTGCTATTAATGTCAGAACCATTATCTGAAAAACATGACAGGTAATATAAAATCAAGGCACTGGTACCTGCTGCTATTATTGTCAGAACCATTATCTGTAAAACATGACAGGTAATATAAAATCAAAGGCACTGGTACCTGCTGCTATTATTGTCAGAACCATTATCTGAAAAACATGACAGGTAATATAAAATCAAGGGCACTGGTACCTGCTGCTTTTAATGTCAGAACCATTATCTGAAAAAACATGACAGGTAATATAAAATCAAGGGCACTGGTACCTGCTGCTATTAATGTCAGAACCATTATCTGTAAAACATGACAGGTAATATAAAATCAAGGGCACTGGTACCTGCTGCTATTATTGTCAGACCCATTTTCTAAATGACAACACAGATACCAGCTGAATAACCTAAAAGACTGATGACAAACAATTAGGGGACCTGCTGAACACAGAAGATGGAATACATGCAACTAAAATCTGTGGCAAGGAGCCCAGATGTCCATTTTAGGCTGTACGTTAAGCAACCAACAATCAATCATTCAATCAATCAATCAATCAATGTTAAAAGTTATTAAATTGCTAAATTTGTTTTTGAAAATTGTTCTGCTTAGGAGTTGCTTACAACACCATGCCAACTTATAAAGTTCAATGACACACAACAATCCATGTTTGAGTGTACAATACAGAAATGCATTTAAGTTTTAATGCTTTTTCCATTTAATTGAAATGTCTGACAATAACCCAATAAGTCCTACTGTGATAATCTAAGAACATGGAGATAGCACATTGTGTCATTCTTATCTTCCATTCTCATATCAATTAAAATGTTTTTCTTCAATAAAATCAATTATTGATAGCGATGTTGTGAAATGTTTTAATCTGATGGCAATTCAGTTTACATTTTTTGGTTTAAATGGGATCTTAACTTTTTGAAAGGGAAGAGAAAATCTAAGGTCCATTTAAGTTCTGTCATGATTTGCATAATTATTCTTATAAATGTAGTAAAACTAACGACTGCCATTAAACATGCTGTTTGTATAAATTTTGATTGAGTCTCTCTTCATTTTTTTGTTTGTAATGAAACAAAATTGATTCAATGACTATCATTCTATCATTAGAATTTAGGTATTTTGAAGTTTCAGGCTATTTGCTACAGCTCATTTGCTATCTTGCATCCAGTATTCCACATGTCAGGCAACTATTTTGAACTAAAACTGAATAACAATTTTTTCACAAACTGATTGTTTCTAATTGTTTATCCAATTTAGCCTGGTAGAGAGAAAGTTCAACTGTCAAGTTCTAACTAGCATGAACACAAATGTCTAGTCATTATTTATTCAGTTGTCCTTAACAACACAGAATATTATGTTTTCTCAATTTCTTTTTTGGATGTTCAAGATATCTGTCACTGTGTAACATTATTTACCAAAATCCCTTCACAATGAAAGTTTTAGTTGTATTTTCTATTAGTCAAGACAATATTTATATCAAATCTTACTTCAGGAAATCAATTTTTATTGTGTGATGCCTAATCAGATATAACTTATCAACATATTTTACAGGAGTATCACAATGTGTGCCACAAGTGAAGCAGGATCTGCTTACCCTTCTGGAGCACCTGAGATCACCACCCGTTTTTTGGAGGGGTTCATGTTGCTTAGTTTATTCTTTTCTATATTTATAAAAAATTGTATACTGTTGTTTATCTTTTCGTCGGTTTTTGTCATAAAAATTGTCAGTTTGTTCTCGACTTATGACTTTGAATATCCCTTGGGTATCTTTCCCCTCTCTTTTACAAGCTACAGAGTTCAAACACAGATATTTGTGTTTGTTTAAAGAAACAGACTCTGGTGGAGAGTTGTCTCATTGGCAATCATACCACATCTTCTTATTCTTAGATTGTTTCATCAGTTTTTATCTGATTTACGTAAAATACACAAAAAGTTGCAATTTATAGTGAGTACAATTTCTAAAATCATAGTAAATTCGGTAAGAGTTCCATATGGCACCCCACCATACTAAAAGAACACAATAATGTATTACAGTTCATTCCGTGGGGGTGCCATATGGAATTCTTTCCGTAAATTCTATCATGCCGATGGTGAACTTTATCAAATTTTAAAACAAGATCTTTATAGGATTCTCTACAGTAGAACTGATTTAGAAATTTTGAATTGCTATAAAAATGTCCAAACTAAGCTTTCATACAATTTTTCTTTCGAAAAGTCTTCTATATTCATAAGAATCAGACATCATTTGAATTAAAACATTGACATAGCAATTCAAAATTTCTATCCATCACCTTTAGCATGACAATAACAATAAAATTTCTATACAAACTGTGAGGCTAATTTTTCATAATAACATTGAAGTGGAATTAAAGTCTTATAGGATTGTAAGTATGCTTTATTTTATCACTTTGCACTTTCACGACTTGACTGTGGTTTTCTACAGCAGTTTGTTCAAATTTCTGAAGAGTTGAACAGTTTGGTTTTATAAAACAAATTGCAATTTGGTCAGAATTTTGAATAAGTTGCAATAGGTGGAGAGCAACACTAACAGCCAAGTCACAGTAATAGTTCTCTAAAATTAGATATGATGTAATACAATGTATATCTATTTTCAAATTACAATCAAATATAATTAATAGTTCCAAATATTTTTACTTTCATTTGTCACAAAATAATATAGATTTGTAACTTATCTATAAAATGTCAACAACTTTTATCTACACAATGTAATGTAATGAAATACATACCTTAATAAAAATAGATTATTATCTAATAAAAGGATTTCACTTAATAAAAAAATATATATATATATATACATGTAGCATTCAGAAAATTAGTTTATACAAAATAACATATAAACCTGCCACAAAATTCCTCAAACAATTTACCAAAGACTGTCTTTTAAAAAATGAGTTATCTCCCTTTGTACAGATATATGGTTTAACATAGTACTCTAACATTAGTTATGGGTTTTTTTTATGGACCAAAACTTTGGACTAAATCATCAGACCGGAACAAAATTCGAACTTGAGCTATAACTTGTCATAATAAAACTATATACCAAATATCAAATCAATATCTTCAAGAATGAAGAAAAAAAGTGTGGAAAACTGAGTTGCCGGACTGACAGATGGACAGACGGACAGAGTGCAAACCTAACGTCCCCTTCGACTTCGTCGGTAGGGGACTAATTACCCTTTTATTTCAATGAAGTCAATTACGTACATCTTCCAAATGTTTATAGAAATGGAAGCTAGAGAGTAGTTTAATGGTTTGTTACAAAGACAATATTATAGAATTAAAGTCGGTGTTTATATTGCTTGACTTTGAGTTGTTTATGTTATGCTATCTGCATCATTTTTTAGGACCATGGTTGTTAATAGTGTCCTTCTCCAATTACATTTTTCAGACTGCTTCTGATTATCCTCAATTTTCCTTGTTTTTAATATTAGAATAAAATAGTGATAATAAAACCATACTAATGGTACAAAAAATTTGATTGGTTGATATTCTATGTATTGAATGTCAATAAATTATGTCCTACAATGATTGTAAATTATATAGGATTTGTTAGGCTCCATGTTGACATACTTCTGATTTTATAATAATTAAGTTTGTTTATAGGCCATAAATATGATCTCTTAACATCTTCTTACAGTGTGGTCTTTGATATATTGATTCTATCCTTTAACTAGGTCGAGTTTAAGCAATTAATCAATTTTTATATCCTCGTTAATTAGGCATTATTTCAGCTAAAAGTCAGTTTAGAATCCAATTTGCAAATAATTTAAAATATAGTGACTTCTACATGTTTTTTTTTTTTTTATTAACTGATATTGTTTGGTTGCCTTCTTATAGACAAGAATATTGTAATAGGGAATCCAAATTATTTATGTTCTACAGTTTAAGGCAAGAAAATGATGCTTACTAACACTAAAAAGAGTCTTAATAATGAGTATGTGTGCAGAGAAACATGAAATAAAACAGTGATTGAATGACTTAATGATGAAAGGAAGTAAATTTCAAGGCTAAAATGGCATATTGTACCTTTTAAGAGGAATTTATCAAAAATATCGTTCTGCATAAAAAATTAGGCAAGCCTTATGTGTGAAAATAAGCATTGACAATTGTCACCAATCATAGAACTTACTTTTACAATCAATTTCTGTCTGAATCAATACAAGAAAAAATTGACGGATGGATAAATGGTATATTTATCATACATATTCAGGACACAACAATGTGGAAGGAAGGCTCCCCATATAAGACTCAATAATGATGGAAAAAGGATATGGTGTAGCAAATCACTACATCACTTTAAAAACTAAAAATAAAGAAACAGCACTTCTATTACTCAGTTATTTATCTCATATAAAATAAGGAAATGTATGAATTCCAATGAGACAGCTATCCAAATAAAGTGGATTTAAGTAGTTATTAGTCACTGACAGCCTTCAACAATGAGAAAAATCCATACCGTAAAGTCGGCTAATGGCTTGATTTATGACAACCAATAAACCAAACTAGGTACAACAAACATCAAGTCAACAACCAATGACAAAGCTTGGTATCTTTGATTAGTTTTTTCAAACAACCAATGACAAAGCTTGGTATCTTTGATTAGTTTTTTTCAAACAACCAATGACAAAGCTTAGTATCTTTGATTAGTTTTTTTCAAACAACCAATGACAAAGCTTGGTATCTTTGATTAGTTTTTTCAAACAACCAATGACAAAGCTTGGTATCTTTGATTAATTTTTTCAATCAATTTTTCTTCATTTGATATTCCTATAATGGAAGAGAAGCAAATTGACCAGAAATTTTCTCTGTACTATAAGTCCATGCGTTTAATATTAACAAACTTCAGAAACTTTGCATTTTCATTTTCTGCTGTAGAGTTTATTCTCTTATAGTGTTTTTATATGGCAATACAATTTTGACCAAGACAAACACATTTTACTACAATCAGACAACTGTAACAGCCTAACCAAAGTAAGTTACTGACCTCATCTTGGATTCCAATGGTTTTGCCCACTGTGGCAGCCCACCAGAGCATGAGGTAGGAGTAGATAGCAATCCATAAAATACTGCCAAAAAATGTTATTATAAACCATCTCTTCTTCTCCTGAAAATAAATAGCAATCCATAAAATACAGCAAAAAATGTTATTATAAACCATCTCTTCTTTTCCTGAAAATAAATAGCAATCCCTATAGTACTTCCAAATTCCTAATTTTATATTATCAAAAATATAGATTAAAACTGTGTTCATTAAAATCTTCCATTTTGTAGTCTATTACTAATTTTACGGTACTGATATTAATACAAGTATAGAAAACTTTTGAATTCAGGCACTTTCTCTACGTTTCCTATGGCACAATGCTTAAATCATTATGACACAGCAAGAACCAATTGTTCAATGACGTTGTTTACGCCAATTGACCTGGGGTAACTCATTCATCAAAAACAACTCGAGATTGGCATACTTAATTATTATGTCAAACTTTTAAGGAAGAATGGAATTGTATGTACATTACACAATCCAAAGAAATACTGGGGAAAAAAATTCACTTATTTTATTAATCTTTTTGTAATTTTCATTGGGATGTGTTGACCCCACACCTATTCAATTGTGGTTATAGAAATAAAGTGTTGACACAGCGATGCAACTCAAACTTTAACATGCAAACTAGGCAAAAGTTTTATAGTCAATAGACCATTAAACCATGATTTAGCAGGTGATGTCAAATAATCTCCATGGAAAGGAGATCTGCCAGTGCTTATTCAACTGCATACCAAATATCATTGACCAATCATAGTGGTGTAATGTGTTCATGGACAGCACAATATGGTTGTAAGGGTTGTCTTTAATTTAGCCAATAAAATAGCTTTAAAACACCACATGAATAATGTCTGCCAATCAAAATGCTAGAATATGTATGCAACGTCTATATATAACTCATGTAATTTTTGTAAATGAAAGTTTTCTAGTCTATTATTTGGACTGATAATGTATGTCATAAATAGCTGATGATATTATCTCTCAATTTCAAAATTCTCCTGTCATGGCTGTGTTAACTTACAGGTCTATTTCATATCAAAATAGAAATCATTAATCATTTATTTATGATAATGTGTAAGAAAAAATTCATAAACAATGCAATTTGTCATAAAACATTGTTTTTAAATAGCTTTCATTTGACACTCTATTGAATGTGAGATTATTTAAAAGTAGTGAAATATTATGATTAGCAGTATCATATCAAATTGAATCTAAGGAATTGATTTTAACAAATATATTGGCTATAATACAGGTTTTTTTCTTATCAAAAATTCAACAGCTATTATTCACATTTCAAAATCAATATTTTTGTAATTAAATAAAAGAGTGCATATTTATTAGAAATTAATTACTGTTGCCAAGCAAAGAGTAAAACAAAACTTTGTACTAGAACAAACAGTTTTCAAGTACATATTTTAAAGTTAACATGCACTATTGCAGCTTACAGCTACAAAATTGGAAAGTTATTTATATTTTCAACTGTAATAAATCCTGTGTGGAGTATTGTCCATTTTAAAATTCTATAACAGTATATGCTTCCTAGTCTACACAAACTAGCCAATAAAAGAAGTTTTTTTGTATTTCATTACTCATATTTTTTTTCGTCTGTAAGACTGTTATACTTTCATGAAGTTCCGAAATCATATATTTCAAGATCCCCACAATTGGATTTAAAGATATCATGAAATTGATTTAACATTCTTTCTAAAATTCCACTGCAAAGAAAGATTTTTACCTCCTGATTATATTCAATGTGATCTGGTCTAACAACCTTTCAATTATATCTAAACTTATACAACTGTTAACCTATTTGATTTTCTTGAACTGGTCAGATCAATTATAATTTACCATAGTGCTATAAACATATTTTGGGTACCATACTAGTATCAGTACTGCTCAGGTGAAATTACTTGATCCAGGTGAGAGTATCTTAGATTTACCTGATTTTCACCTGAGTAATTTGATTTTAGCACATACTTACAACTTCTCGTCCAATCAAATTGCTTATATTTGCCTTCTAATTTTCATAGTACATACTTTTCCTGTGTACTAAGTAACTACGCATGAATGACCACAAGGGTAAGATTTCATTGTATCGTAATCAAGATATTTAAAACAAAAATTGCCACTGGCTATCTTGAAATAAAATGCTGTGTTCCAAATTAAATTAAATAGTTTGTAATTAGTTTTCACGTTGATTTTTAAATATCCTGCTATTAAAATCTTTGGATCTAAAAATTGTTTTTGACAATTGCAAATTTTATCATTTAAATAAAGGGTAATACATATGGTTCTTTATACCTTGATTACAGTACAACGATATCTTAAAATTATGATAATGTATCATCCATGCAATTACTTTGTACACAGAAAAGTGTGTACTATGAAACCTTGTGCAGGAAAATTAAAGCAACTTGGTGATAAACTTTCTTAAGGAAGGTGATCTATTTCGTCATGAATTGATTGATTTATTGATTATTGGTTGCTTAATGTCCAGTGGCAAATATTTCATGCATGTTCAGGACGATGTCATGAATTGAAAAACTGTGATTATGTCCGAAGATAATGTGCCACCTATATATATATATAAACATATTCTGATAAATCTTTTAGTTTTTACTTTGAAATAATAAAAAAAAAAAAACAACACAAAACACAAAACCTATAATCTCTGATCTATTGGTAGTTGCTTTTTAATGCCTATCTGCTAGACTATATCTATGGGGACAAACTATCTCTATGTTTCAAATTTATTATAGCTTTAGTTCTACTGTGAAATTAAAAAATGTTTTCAAAACATGTAAAGCTTCCACTGCAATTTAATTATTGCCTGCTTTTGGTCAATTTATTTTGTCATCTTACCATGTAAGAAGAACATGTATAGTAAAACACTGCTTTATATCAGTATACATACTTACACCAGCAGCTACCATCTTTTCATTCTGGAGTGAAGGGCCTTTTGAAATCACATATTTTACAATAATACTAGTGAGTAGATTTACAAAACTTCGTTAATGAGCTCCTTTTTACAAACACCTGTGATACAAGTAGTCAGCCAAAATAAACTATCAATAGACCAATTAAAAGATTACTCGAGTTGTAAATATGTGCTAAATTGGATAGTCTATGGAAAGATATATACTATGAAATTAAGAGCTCGGGGCAAGCCCCTCGCTCTAAATTTCATAGTATATACCTTTCCATAGACTAACCTAGACTTAACATTCTATATATTTTTAAAACAGCCTGTTAGAATATATATCATTGATGATTTGAGTTGTAATAAGACTTACTGGTCTTCTAACATCAGGTAGAAATAACCACAGTGGAAATATTATTGGCGCTACTAAAATATAATTCAATCGTTTTCTCCATTCCTTAGGCCAGCTAAGATCTAATGGTTCTTCTTCTTCTTGTAACTGAAATTAACAGATCAATTTAAAATCTTTAAAAAATCTAACATAAACTAACTTTGGTAACTAATTTAAAGTAACTTCACTCAAAAATATATTTACTCAAAAGTTGGAGTATCGCAATTCAATCTATGACAAATTGCTCACCTTTAAACCATATCTACTGATTTCACCCTTTTTGTGAATTCAATTATCGTTTGAAACAATGCAATTAGTGAGGGTACATACTTGCTAGACCATATTAAAATAAAAAAGAGTAAATGACTCGCTGAATTTTACGTAGGAGGAGATTTTTGTATATGTTCTATTTATCATTTTTTCTCATTATCACTTGGAAGTGTGTGGGATCAAGAATATAATAAGTTGAGAGTATAATATTGGATATCAATCACATCCCACAATTATGCACCTAAACATTCATATTTTAATCTTATTCATCTCTTCATGGTGTTTAATAAAGTTAAGAAAGAATACGGTTCAAAATATTTTCAGTAAGAGGAACACTTTTTACATAGATACAAGACCAGTGGATTTAGTCGATTGTTATATTCAAGTTTTGGAGACAAGATAAAACTGCTTGACTATATATAGCTAGTCCCAGTATGTTTCAGCTGGCTAAGTGTATGATCATGTAGTTGATTCATCTAATATTACTCATGCCTCAATAATGTAGCTATTTAAAAAAATAAATAAAGGTGATCCATCAAATATTTGTTCTGATTCCTGTAATCCAGGGTTTTTCATCCCCAGAGGTTTCCTTCTGTCATATCTTATCAAGGTTTCTTGTTACTTTGATACTTTGTTATTGTTAATTTTATAATTCACAACTTTTTTACACTCAAAATGCCTTTGAGCTTGATATTTTGCCCAGACACCAGTCTATAGTTAAAGACTGCATGTTGACCTCTAGATGTCTTTGGTTTGTTGTGTTGTTCAGTTGGTGTCTCATTGATGTATTCTCCACATCTCCTTATATTTTTTTTGGTCTTTTTCTTCTACATTTCTGTCTTAAGACAAATTGAATTTCTGTCCAATCTGTTTTACACAGAAGTGTTATCATTTATCAGCAAAAAGTTCAGGTTTTGTCAATTAAACCAGAAGATGACAAGATAGAAAAATATTTCATCAGGGTTGCCATACAAAAGCAGTGATAAAGTATCAATTTGATGACAGAAAAATAGAAGCAACTAAAATTTCATTTCAAATCCATACTATAATCTTCTTATTTATATATAAAACATCTCAAAAAGTGTAAATATTGTGTTCTATCAAAACAAGTTGCTCTGAGATTTTATATAGAGTGGGTGGCGCATATTCGCCTTGGACACATTTTCACCGTTTTGCTATTTCTTCTGTAAAATTTTTGTGCCTTTACCAAATACTTGCCTAAAAAGATGGTAAAGGCTGTTTGTAATGTTTGAACTGTTGATATTCCTCTTTACCCCATTTCCAAGGTTACTTGCACATATAAAGAAATACGCAGGTTTTTTTAAACGATTTTGGCAATTATGTAAGATTTATATGGCAATCATGCGCAGTCTTAACGTAAATATTTGTGAGAAAAATCGTATAGGAATGATCTCTCAAGCCAATTCATGTTATTGCAAACATTTGTTTTTATAATATACCAGGATAACGAGGATGGTCATATTATACATTGCGGCGAAAATGTGTCCCCCATGGTACACGAACAACTTGATTTCCTCTTGAGTTGCGTTTGTTTTTAGAACATTTTACCAATGTTTTGAAGATGATTCCTTTCTCAAACATTTTTTTCATATAGTTAAATTTCTGAAACCTACATAAAAACTTCCAAATATTCGAATGCAGGTCGGATGTAAGTTGGAATGTACAAATTATGCGGCGAATATGGGTCACTCACTCTAGACACCTTTCTGTTGTTTATGACCTTATGATGACCTTGTTTTGTTGGACTGTTGTCTTATTGATATATATATAGTATAATACAATTGACATATATATACACCCCATATCATCATTTATTCACATTAATTATTTTCTTTTGCATATCAGTTTTATTTGTGTACTGGAAAAGTTTGCACTTAGACTATCTGCTTATGAGAAACTGGTAACTTTTGGGTGTGACAAACTTTTTTTGAAATATTTCTAATACTATAAGAAAAATTGTATTAAGTTTTTGTAAAACCTTTTATCTGGACAGTACACCTGCTGATTTTCAATATTTAACTGAATATGATAGCATATCTTGCAAAAAAGTTAAAATTCACTTAAATATGTTGTGATTTTGTTGCATCATCAGCCATAAACAGATCACGCAAACAAACTTTAACTGGTTCCTTGTTGTTTTCTATGTTTGGCTCAAGGTGGCCTGCATACTTGTATTATGAAAGGGGAGAGAACAAGTGATTAAAAACAAACATCAATCAAGAGCCTCTTTATGGAATATGCTTAGTTCTACAAGAACATATAAATTATGTTGGCCTTTGGGATTTAGACGTCTTTTGGTTTTTTTGTCATTGGGTTGCCGTCACACCATCTCCTTTTATTCATTAGAACATGGTTTTTGTTAGTATGAAACAATGGCTACTTGAATAAGTGTCAATATCTGTGAGGTCAGTTGCATGCCACAAAAGTAGTAAGGTCAAGATTGTTTACTGTGATGGAATTTTTTTCCTCAGAAGAAAGAAAAAGAATTTAAGTTCAAAGAAAATTATCAAACAACTAGTAATGATTGGACTTTAAAAAAATCAATCTTGAATTGATTCAAATTTGATGTAAATGCTGTAATTAATTCTTTGATGGTAGAAAATATCAAAGGTTATATTATTAATCAATATGAGGTTATATCTATGGTGAAACGACTATAATTGATTTGGTTTTACAGGTTATGTTAAATCATCTCCAATGAAGAATTATAAAAAAAATCACTTCAAATTGTATACACGCTTTGTTTAGTCACATGTGAAATATTAAGCAAGTGAGATTAGCACAGTAGCTTTCAGTGTACTTGGTACGTAGCTATAGCAATCTGGGACTGTTTTTTGATTGGCAAAGAAACATGTTTATTGAGAGGGAGACAGAAAATCTAAAAACACTTTCGAAAACAGCTGGATAATTCATAGTAGTGTTTTTGAACTGAGGTTTGAATAAACTAGAACACAATAACCACAATATGTCAATATAACATTTTATATGCACAAGAAAATATGAATAAAACATGTATTTGTTATCATCATGAATGAATTATCCCTGGCACTGAATTGAAATGAGATATTAGAAACAAATGAAAGATCTATTATTCATTGAAACTCAGTTTTATAAAGGTAACAAAATTATGTAATCAGAATCCTTGAATAATAAAAATCAGTGTTCTTCAGAGGTAAGCTCCATCATGAAAATGATTGATTCCCAAAAGCCAGTTTAGTTTACATCAAAGCACTCTGAAATTTGTTATTTGCTCTACAATGACATTGAGGATTCATACTTGGTGATTTTAAGAGCTATTTTTTCTTCCTGAAGTTTTATGTAAAACTTTTAACATTGATGGCCATTTGGGATGTCATTCAGAGAAATCAGATACAATAATAGAATTGGACCATTAAAATGTTGTTCCTTAGTCAAATTGGTTCAACTGGTATAATCAATACAGCTATGTTTGCCATCATAGCCTCCTCAAAAAGTATTGTTTTAACAGATTCTGGACATTGAACAAAAAATTAAAGAAAATATAAATTGATTTTTCTAGATTTTTCAATGTCAAGGAATTTGTAGAAATGATTGCCATCTTGTAGAAAATCAAGACAATCTACTAGGGGCATTTTACCAAAATTAGATTTCTTTTTCTGCAGACATTCATAAGATTAGGAATTCAATATCTTCACAAACCGTATATGTTCTATTTATAGAATGAACAGCCATTTTTTTTTTGGATGATAACTGAAGGGTCATAAGAAAAATATGGAAAGTATAGGAAAGTATATTTAAAACCAATTTAAATTGGTAACAATTGTCAAAGTGGTTTAAGAGAGGTTTATGTTTGAAAAGTTTAGGAACAACCATAATTGTAAGTGATACAAAGCATATATTAGATTAATAGGACAAGGTGAGCCAATAAAACTCTTAAATGGTCATTGAAATGTTATTTCTTGAAAGTGATTTTAAAACATATACATAAAATGAATACCATAATTCATAACATAAATTACTTGATACATTTTGCTGGTTCATATTAACTTCATAATATTTTAAAATCTAAAATACAAATTCCTCAACAAAAAATAGACAATAAGTGTTCCCTAGTATTAGGAATTTTTATGAAATAAAATTATCAATACATTTACATAGTTGACATAGTTCTTCTTTCCCAAAATATCATATCATCCGCAAAAAGGTTTTGGAAAATGTTTTGCTTGTATAATGTATAATGTGCTAGGCTTATTTTTCCTTATCAACAGGATGCAGACATGGAATTAAGATGGAAACTGCATCGATGTTTCGTGTTATAAAGCTATAAATTTTGATTCTTTATTCAAATTTAAACAATCATTCCATGACATGAAAATCTTAATGTAAATTTCAAAAAAACCTTCAGAAATAAAAAGAATCTTTTCCAAATCAAACTACATAAAAAAGATTAAAATTTTTTTGTAGATATGTCAGACACAACCTGCATCATACCATTTGTACTTGAACTATGGGTAAATCTGTACTTAAATAATAAATGTAATGTAGATATCTGATGTCACCATAAGTCCATTATCTTAATTAGTGATTAAGAAAGATGAAAGTGGACCATTTTTTTCATTTAATTAAATCATGAAGCATTTTATACATGAAATCCTAATAAGAATTTCCAAGAAAATGTAGCCATGCAATTCTTGGATGATATATATCTATTATCTTTCTAATGCATTATTCAGTAAAGAAATACGGAAATTATTTCCCGACATCACCTGAAGGTTAGAGACAGGTGACAAAAAGGTTAAAGTTCTCAATTATACTCATTATTGTTAATGGGATAAAGAACAAGCTTTCAAAACATTTCTTATCTGTTCAATTCCAAATAACTGTACAATAACGTATCATGACTAATCTAATTGTGTTTCTTGTGGAAATAAGCAGTACTAATTCCTTAATGAAACTACGGGAAATGACTTTGAAAATTCCTTCATAAGTTCAGGTATTTATTACACATGGAATATGAAAATAATTCTACCTGTATATTACTTTATAAAAAAAATTTAACAATTTCTAAGAATATAATTACTGCAGAATTATGATAGTTCATGAAATAGTATCAAGCTGTGACATACTCTTGCATCTTTCAAATAAACTGGCAATGAACTAAATGAATGTCCAAGGAGTTCACCATCTTCCAGATAAGAGTAATCATTATGACTCATGAACCTAGCATGGACAGTGTAGTACGTTATCATCAATTTTAGTTATTGAGCTTTGAATATCTGAGAGACTGTTTAGAAAAGATTGATTGATAATGCTGGTGTTTAATGCCACTTTCAGCATTCTTTGCAATCTCATGGCAACCAAATTTTATTGATGGAGGAAGCAGTAGTGCTTGGTGTTTGGAAAAGAAAATGATTGGCAAATGTTCTTCCAGTCATCCAACTCAGATTAAAGTTATAATCCCTGTTCTACCCAGGAAAACAATATATATTTTTGTCCCCATAAGACATAATACTCACATTTTCGGAACTTGCTACTTTTTATAATCAAAGCGCAGAAGCGCTGAGCGCTGAAAGGCAGTTTTTATGTAAAAAAGGAAATGCTGTTTTTGTTTGTACTTTGCCACTTAGATTCCCCTTAAATCTATATTACCTACCTCTTCCTTCTTGTCTTCTCCATCAGGTGTTTCTGGTGTTATTGGTGACACACGTGACACTGCTATGTCACTTGACCCTTCATTCAACACAAATCCACCATTGTCTGAGGTAATATGTCCATTTGTATAAGCAGTTAATTTGTTATTTTCTTGGTCTACAGTACCGTTATGATTTGTTTGCCCATTGTGTTCTCCGTGCCCTGGTGTAGTGACCCCTATCACAACTTTCAGTGTTTCCAGTGCATGAAGATGTACTGCTTTTTCATGGGGCTTTGCTAAAAACAAAACAAAAAAGATATCTATTTGCTGTAAATTGAGTCTTTTTACTTGACTATTGTTAAAATACAGTATCCTATTGATTATCAGTTGTTTCTTACCTGGCTAATAGTTTATTCCAAATTACCAACTTTGTTTCTAAATAAAGAATTTTGTAAAGAGAAACAACTCATTGGTAAGACAAACTGTATCACTGCCTAGTCAAAACTAGATGAAAATTCATAAGAGTTCTTTTAACTTAAACCGAAAGAATATGTTTACCACTTAAATTAGCATCTTTTTGTGAAAATGTACAGTAAATGTCTGTTTCATGTTTCATTTTCTGCAAATTCTAATAAACTTCAAACATTGTACACTTTTAATATCATATCTATTTTACTTTGAAATAACAGAACAACATTTGAAGGTTGCTGTTCTTAACACACATTATAATTTTTACTTAGCATAGGTTAAATAAAATTAAGCAACCATTTTTGCTTTTCAAATGCTCAAAGGTTAAAAATTAGACAAAGCTTATGTACAAATTCCATAAAAATAAAAAATGGAAAAAATTAAGTAGCGACCTCATAAATCGATTTGGTCAATCTTCTCAGCTGTGATAAGATGCATGAATTCTACCGATATCCACTCATCTCCAAACACAATTGACATGCATGAAGCTTTTGTATTAATTCTTCATTAACAGATTAACAGATGAATCCACATGGCAATAAATAATCACCAACTAATGATGAGTTTAACAAAAACATGGGTAACAATGTCATTTATGAATATCAAGTGTTTATTCCTAATACAAATGTAAAAATAATACAGAAAACATAATGAATTATGCCTTAAACTCAGAATTTTGTTTTCAGCACAGTTTATTCCCTCGTTTGAATTCTATGGCATTCTAATTATTTAATCATTATGACTACTAAAGACAAAATTAAACTCAATGACATTTCAGAATTATCAGTAAATAACAGCTTAAAGAGAAATTGAGGATTGATTCATCTCTTTTTACCAATCTAATTTCGATGAGAAATAAAATAGCAGCAAATAGACTTGGTTCAAATTTCTGTCAACATCTCATGACAGACCTACTTATCAAACTGCTAATCAAAAGTGTTGTTATATACATAAATAAGTCGTGACTTATGACAAACATGTGACTTATGACAAACATGCGACACTTAATATATTTGTTCAAATGGCAGGTGAAGCCATCTTCATTGGTATCAGTTTCTAACTTGTGAATATCAAATAACAATCTCTGAACTAAAGTGTCATAATATTACACTACATGACATTATCCCAGGCTTAGTCAATTTCTTGGATTTTGATTGGCTAATGGCCATCATTAAAAAACACAACTATTCCCTATCCATTACCTCAGGGAACTTCAAGGCATTTTCCGTAGTTCCGTAGTTTTTCTCAGTGAAAAATTGAATTCCGTAGATCATCCATGATGTCTGTAACTAAAGATTTTATCCTATAATTCCGATCATTGGCATTAATTTTAGTAAATGCAAATGGGATTACTGACTGAGTTATGCAAATGACCAACGTTGACGTCACACAATCTATGACATAACGCTTGAGACATTGAGCGCTAAATTTAATTTATTCTCTGTCTCTGGATTCATATATTTGACTACCTGTAGGGTTCTACCAAAGATAGTATCCTACGTACACCCTGTAAATAATATGTCAAATTTCCAAATTTCAATAAAACTTTTTCAAATAATTAATAAATTGTTGCTTTCATTTTACACTTTGTGCGCGAATTACCCTAAACATTGCCCTATTGGGACTAAGACCAGGGATAAATTCTTAAATCTACATTCATATCCGTATATATGGGTATTTTAACTCCTCGCCTCAGAGTGTATCAGAGGGTACTTCGGGGTGTTAAAATACCCATATCTATGTATATGAATGTAGATAACTTATATTATATGTTTTATCATTCTGTTAATGTCTGTATCATTGTGCATTTCAAACAAGCGAGACAACTGTTACAATACTTTTTAGATAATAATTGGAAGGGAGATAACTTCAAATAATTCAAATATTCTTTAGAGAGGATTATGAGTTTATTATTATTTTATATATTTTAATGAATTTGATTCTTTCTGAAAGAGTCACATATTCAACTGTATTTTCAAAGGAAGACTACTGAAAACAGCAGATTGAAAAGTGATCTTGCTGTTATTCATAAGATATCTAAAAATATAACATTAAAAACCTTAATACTTTGTGACGCAATCCTCATAACACAATCCATACCTGCCAACTTTTGAAAGTCTCCATGGGGGATTTTAAGCAATAGAGGACCTAATCATACCTATACATGTCATTAGTGTACTTAATTAGAACATCTGTAGTTCTATGCGACTGTCATACAAGTGAGAGGTTTAGCTAGCTGTAAAACCAGGTTTAATCCACCATTTTCTTCATAAGGAAATGCCTGTACCAAGTCAGGAATATGACAGTTGTTTTCCATTCGTTTGATGTGTTTGAGTGTTTGATTTTTCCATTTTGAATTTCCCTTGGAATCGGTATTTTTGTTATTTTACTTTTAAATGAGTGTACATGTGTTTAAATGTATTTTTTAATCCTCTGAATGCCTTTTTAAAAGTGTTTAAGTCTAAATACTTGAATATTAATAAGATCAGTTCAACACCTCTCATGGAAGATATTCCCCATAAAGGAGGAAAGTTGGCAGGTCTGTCAACCAAATGAATTTTTGTTCTATTTCTGGCATATTGTCAATAATAATATGATAATTGTAGCCTTTATATGAGGTTGATACGAAGGATATATTGACCTAAAGAAGTATATCAACCTCAGACTTTGTCCTCAATTGATATATTTCTTTCAGGTTCATATCCTCACATTGACCTCGTACAAAATCTGTTATAATTGTACAATATATTCATTCAATATGTTATGTCCTAGAAATTATCAAACAAAAAACCATGATTAAAAAATGTGCCACAATAAAAATAAAAATTAGCTGCTTTTAAACACACATTCTAATACCATTATACTATGTGTTTATTTAATTATAAAGAATTATACAATGATATGTTGCATTGTAAGAGTGAATTTTTGTGTTAATCAAAGAATTAAGGAATGGTTATGCAGTTCATGTTTCAGCTTTACGATTACGTCTTGATAGAGATTAAATAAGATCTGGCTATACTTAAGGTAACTTATACACTTATAGGGGATTATCCAGTATTTGGAATATAAATTAAGCACTTAATATTTCAGGTTTTGGATGTACATTGTTTACTGAAGTCAGTTGTTACAATAGGTTCCAGTGGCTCTTTTCACAAAAAAATCTTACAATAATAATGGATCATAAGTAATACTGAAATATTCATGACTACATATTTATTATTGTACTTTAATAAAATAAATCTTATCTTATCTTATCTGTATTATGTAAGATATATTGTGAAATGAAGTGCTGGCCTTTATTTCATAAAAAATTTAACGACAAAAATTACTTTTTAGTCATGAACTATTCAGTATACTTGCGATCAGTTTTTTAAAAGTCATAACATTTTTTTTGAAACATATTTTACTAAACTGACATAGATTCAGGCTAACAGTCTGAGGTCAATATCTTTTTTTAATAGTTCAGAACACACAGACATCTCTTGAGTCACTTCCTTCAGATATCCCCTGCTTCACTTTTTGATAACACACATTCTGACATTGCTGAACAATAACCATTATACTCAGAGAACAAGGAATAAAAACTGTACTTGATTCCCTAACCTCATCACATGCTTTCAAACCTCTAAGGTGGTTGATATTTGTAAATCTTAATGTTTTTTATTATACTTCACGTAAAAATGCAATATTTTGATTGGCTTATACGAGGGTGTTAATTTACTCTATTCTATGGTAAATACTCTATTACCCTTCACGGAGACGCTTGATCAAGTGTGCGCTTTATTAAATACGACTCTATCCTATGGCAAACATCTATTACCCTTCACGGAGATGATTGATCAAGTGTGCGCTTTATTAAATACGAATGGTTGTTATGTACAAGACGTCATAGTTTATTACTTTGAATTTGAAATTTAAACGACAGTAATAACAGAACATTCAGTATAATAAATTAAATAACACATATCTGAGAGGGTGATAGAGCAGATTGTTACCCCTCGAAAAGACATTGTCAACCTTGGCTTCGCCTCATTTGACAATGTTTTCTCGGGGTAACAATCTGCTCTATCACCCTCTCAGCTATGTGTTATTTATATATTGTCATCTGAAGAATTTGGTGGAAGATTTTTGATAGCCTCTGCATTATCTATTCCCAACTTTCGTTAACTGGATCCATAACAGAATTGTGTAAATCTTGATCATAACTTTTTTATAATATATGACATTGTTCCCTACATAAAGCTTACCTATAAAACAAAATTGTACTAACATTAGAAAAAAAAGGACAATTTGTGGTGATTTAAGGAGTTTATATCATTCATAATGGCTTCCTTGACAGATTCTGGTGCTTGCTAAAGCCCTTAACTTAGTCTGTTTGATTAATAATAAAGATGATTCATTGGTGTAGTAAATTTTAACATTCAAATATACTTCTTACATCGTAAAGAAGGCAAATTCGTTTGATTCGCAATAAATCACTGGATGAATTAACTGGCTTCATCTATAATTAAGTCTATATTAAGGAAATACAGAAAAAATGTTTTTGTCATATGCTGTACAATTACGTGGTACCACCTACACAGATATTTTTATCAAACCAATGTTTCACATCTAAACAGGAATTATAACATCAGGGCAGCTAAATAATCTGAGTATTTTATGGTTGATATATCTGATATATATCCAGAGTAGCAATAAAGTGCTTTCAGTTCTTATATACTGAAATGTTTCATACAAGGAAAATTAGAAATATCAATTGGCATTATCATATGATGCATTTGTATGGCTACAAAGAATCCATGATGTTTTCCCATGGGAAAAGTCTACTCCAAACAAACTTTATTTCTGTAGACTTGTCATTACATAATTACAACAAAAGGATGTGAAAATAAGTACTTTTCACTAAGTTTTTAATAACTTGAGACCTTGGATGTATAGAGCTAAAATCAATAGAGATCTCCAATCTCATCCAAGGACCTGAAGTTCTCAATAGGAAACCCCTTTTCTGCACCTATTTTTGTTGATATTTAGTAACTATGACCTGGTCATTAGGAAACCCCTTTTCTTCACTTATTTTGGCTGATTTTTAGTAACTATGATCCGGAGGTATTGACCTCAGAATCAGTTGTGGTCTTCAGCTCATTATATGTGACAATATATGCAATATTTGTTCCAATGTCATGTATATTTATAGACTTACAATCCAAAACTCCTTTCCAGCACACATTTCTCTCTAATTTTTGTAATTTTGAACCTGACCTTAGAAGTGATTGCCTCAAAATAGATAGGGATTTTCCTTTCTTAATTTTAGACCTTATATCCAAGTAAGTTTGCTATATGATACAAAGTGTTTGACTTAGAATCTGGAAACTACTTTCCTGCACAAAGTTTTGTCTAATTTAAGTTACAATAACCTTGACCTTAGAGGAGGTGACCTTAGAATAAAAAAGAGATCTTTCTCTTATTATATGTGACCATATATCCCAGTAAATTGCAATCCCATATAAAATACTCATCATCTTAAACCACCTTTCTGCACAAATTTCAGTTCAGTTTTAGTACTTATTGCCACATTAACCTATTATGTCTGTTTGGGTTGCTCACCACATTTTGTCAATATAACAGAACTATAAACAACTGTTATACAAGTGGGGGGTTTAGCTAGCTATAAAACCAGGTTTAATCCACCATTTTCATGCCTGTACCAAGTCAGGAATATAGCAGTTGTTTTTCACTTGTTCTGTTGATTAATAGTGTTTGATTTTGTCAAGTTTTTATGGACTTTGCCTTTATGGGTTTGCCTTGGAGTTTAGTATTTTTGTTATAATGACCATATAAACAAGTATGTTTACTGAACAAGAATTTAATTTAACATCTCAAAATTAAAATGACTGACTGACTGGTCAAAAACTATATATACTAGATACATTGTAGTGTGGGGAATAATTACAGTCAACTTTACTAAAGTTCATTATACTTGAAAAGAACTTGAAAATATTAGTAGGAATACCTATTAAAACTTCATGGCCATCATAAAAATTAAACTTGTCTTTATTTAAGTGCATCATACTGTCCTCCTTTATAAGTTGTTGTGTAGGATGTTAAACACCCCTGATTCTCTCAAGTGCATTAATACACTAGTACTTACAAAGAACTGGCATATTTCTAAAGTTAAGTAAAATAATATCTGAGTAATGAAGTACATGTATTTAACGTTTTCTACGTTATTAAAATTAATCATAAAGACAGATCACATTTCCTGAGACCTGTTTACTGAGCATGCTTATTATTTTCTTGTCCTATATGAACCAGCCACTAGCTATTTACACAATTAAAATCAAGTCAATACTCCTTCCATAGCTTTTGTTGGTAAAAGTACACATATTTCCTTCTCTACAGCTATCAAGTACATTTCTTAGGTTCAACTTTATTCTAGGAAAGCTGATTAAGATAAAAAATGTCACAGTATCGTGTCAGAATCAAACGATGCTTAAAATTCTTGTTTACTAACCATATTACAAAATATAACTTAATATTGTCTAATTGTTGCTTGCTGAGTACAGTGGCATTTTCAGGTCAAGAAAAAAATATCAAATGAAAACAATAGGTTCTGCAACCTGTAAGACCAACCTGGATGAAGGGCAGGAAATTAGAACTGGCACAGAAAGATGAGAGATGTTGAATAGTTGCATTGTAACAGCCAACAATAAACCCTAAAAAGAGTTGTTGTAAGGGTTCTTTAACATGCAAGAGAACCCAGTCAACACTTGGGGGTTAACCCTGGAACTATTAATTACCAATATAATTTATTTTCCTCACCCCTATAATACAGGCCATCAAGACATTTCTCAGTTAACTGTCCTGTGCCTGGATTTCATCTGGGGTTTTACAAGAAAAGGGAATCATGGCAAATATAGTGTATGTTAAAACGTTTAAACCCACTGCATTTGTTTGCCCCTGTCCTCAGTCAGGAACCTGTTGGTCGTTTGTTGATGTGGTTCATAAGTGTTTCTTGTTTTTTATATAGATTAGATCGTTGGTTTTACTGTTTGAATGGTTTTACAATAGTCATTTTTTTAGGGCCCTATATAACTTGCGGTTCAGAGTGAGTCAAGCCTCCGTGTTGAAGGCCATACTTTGACCTATAATGTTACTTTTACAAATTGTGACTTGGATGGAGAGTTGTCTCATTGGCACTCATACCACATCTTCTTATATCTATATACTAGAATACACCCGCGATATCGCATTTCCATGACTGAATTAAAGTACCTACGTCTTATTTTTTGCCTTGATTTTTAGTAATTGTATTGTTATCTGATAAAGTTATGCTGATTATAAGGTGTATAGTTTTCTCCGTTTTAAAAATCTTTCTGTTTGAACCTGTCCTGGTTTTCTTACTTCTGAGTAGTTGCAAATACATAAAACGTAGGCTCGCACATGCCGAAGAAATTTTGAAATACACATATTTTTAAATCCGCTGCTCTGTTACACAGATATCCAGTGGTGCTCCAGATAGTGGAGGAATTTACTGCAAATAAAGAAACTACAACCGGAAACTATATGTGACATATACTATTAGTATCTATATCGGATTCGACCCAGAACTTGTTAATTATTAGTTATATTAATTGTGTGGAAAACAAAGGGGCCTGGAATGATGTAATTTTTAATCAACACCATTATCCTAAATTAGTTATATATAAAGTTGAATTTTTTAATTCGTCGTTTTTACGCCATGCCGGCTAACAAATTGGACCTCGTTATTTAAGTAGTATAGATCTTTTAAAATCAATAAATTTAAAATTTACTCTATATCTTTCATTGAAACCATTTGGTTTTTCATCAACCTATATGTATTAAGTTTTATTATTATTTTTTATTTTTGTTGTCATATTTAGTAGAAAAAGCAGATTTTATAATTAGTAATTCATCAATAGATTAATATAATTATATCAAACCTACAACTGACTAGCATTGTTTATAATGAACATGCACTTTATTAAAAAATCTTACCTTTTTTAGTTTTATGTGTTCCCAATATTTTCATGTAAAATAATTTGAATTAACTGCATATAATTTGTTTTTTCTTAACTAACATTCAAAATAGTTCTTTTTGCTTATGCATTGTTTAAATATTCACAACTGATAAAGATCTATAATTTTTTATTCATCTCGTTTTAAATTTGCATTATTAGATAAAAGGTACCTCAACATTTCATATGGTGTATCTTTATATACATTTTCCTCATATATAGTAAGCAATGCAAGAACACACCAACACTTTACAGACAAAGATTTCATTTATGTTTTTTTCTTAATATTTGTATTTATTTCTCAATATATTTTTAAGAGAATAAATGCTGCTAGAAAACATAGAACATAAAAATGGTCACACAAAATTTTATTCCAGATATAGCAGGTATATTTTGTATTATGATTCAACTTGCACAACTTGTAGAAAAATAGTATTTCACACAGGTTTTTTTTAATGATAATATTGGAAACAAAGCAAATAAGTTTAGAATTTGTCTTTCAAATCTTTCTACTTGACATTATAGACTTACTGATATACGATATAATTAAACCTTTGTTGTTAGGATGATTTAGAGCTTTACATATCAACACTTTGTGAGTTCTAGATGTTATATTTTTTTTTTCATTTGGTTGCAGACTTATTGATGGATATCCCACATCTACTTTTATTCAGGACAAACTTTCTAATCAATCTTCTTATTTATCTGTTTAATGTTTTACTACAAAGAATTTAAAACAGTGGTGGTGCATTTCTTTTGTATCAAGTCAGGAATATGACAGTTGTTTTCCATTCGTTTGATGTGTTTGAGCTTTTTATTTTGCCATTTGATAAGAGACTTTCCGTTTTGAATGTTCTTTGGAGTTCGGCATTTTTGTTGTTTTACTTTTTGTTGTTCAGTATACAATCTCTGACTGTTAAAAGTTTAAGGCCGATTATTCAGGCCAAGTGTATGAATACAGTTGCCCATATTGATATTGTAGTTTAACCGTGACTTACTTCTGTGAGCAGATAAAGAGGCCAGATGAGGCCCAAAAACAGCAATACTGAATCTTCTATTGTAATGATTTCCTATCAAATTTAAAGTATTTGGACTCAATCCACTATGGTTACAGCTAGGGTGTGTTATTGAACTTCTATCAGTAGAATTTATTTTTGATTCTGCAAGATTTGAAAACATACTTCAATGTAAATCAAATTAAACAAATTATATGTATCCACTGATATAATACTGCCATATAAAAGGCACAAAAGTGACAGTTAAACCAACAAATGCTTCAAATATACTTTGAGTTTACATTCCATGCAATCATTTTCTTCCATCCCTTGAGTCAAAAATTAAAAAAAAAACTGAACCAGTTTCAATTTTCACCATCATATCATATTTGAATCAAAGAAAAATATATATCAAGACAGTCACATTTTCTAATGCATGAAAAGAATGTTCCAGTAGCATATCAGGTAAGGACTATTTACATAAATGAATGGACCAGTAGCATAGAGGGCATTGGCTCCCCTTTTGATTGGAAAACAGAACGGACCAGTAGCCTAACAAGTATTGACCATAAGCAGAACTATCATGGGCCATTATAATAACCAGATTGGACAATTAGCATAACAAGTATGGACCATTAGCATAACCAGAAAGGACCATTAGTATAACCAGAATGAACCATTGGCATAACCAGAATGGACCATTCTCAAAACAAGTACGGACCATTAGCATAAACCAAAATGGACCATTCGCAAATCAAGTATTGACCATCAGCATTACCTGAATGGACCATTAGCCTAACAAGTATGGAACATCGCATAACCAAAATGAACATTAACATATCAAGAATGGACCATCAGCATAACCTGAATGGACCATTAGCATATCAAGTATGGACCATCAACATAACCTGAATGGACCATTAGCATAACAAGTATGGACCATCAGCATAGCCTGAATGGACCATTAGCATAACAAGTATGGGCCATTAGTATAACAAGAATAGACTTATAGCATAAAGAGAATGGACAATTGATATGACCAGAATGGTCAATTAGCATTACAAGTATGGACAATTAGCACTACAAATATGGACAATTAGCATTACAAGTATGGACAATTAGAATAACAAGAATGGACTTTTAGATAAACTAGAGGTACTGTAAGCAAAGCTCACAAAAAGATACCCCCACCCCCATACAAATCCAAGGCTAGTATATTATTTGTCCAAAATAGGAGGTACACAATGGTGTTATATGGTTAAGATTCTGAGAAAGTTTCAATTACTTCTGAAAAGGAGTTTAGGAGGAATTGCGGATACAAAATGGATACCCCTCAGATATAACTAGTTTTATTAACAGTAACCCCAAAAATAATTTTTATCAAACACAAATATAGGAGCTACTCAATAAAACCATATGGAACAGGCTATTATTTGAACTTGGAATTATTTTTAATTATGGAATTTGCATAATTTCTTGTGCTTGAAATTTTTAATAAATTCCATGTTTATTCTGTACTTTAATGTTCTGTGCTGCACACAACACTTTCTATTACACAGAAGATAGTACATTTTCAATAGAATGTGCTGTGCTGCGCACAACACTATCTATACAAAATACATTTTATGGAAAGTGTAATGAACCGCTCAAAACATTATAATACCAAATAAACATGGAATTTATTAAAAATTTCAAGCACAAGAATTATGCAAATTCCATAATTAAAAATAATTCCAAGTTCAAATAATAGCCTGTTATGGTTAAAATTCTCAGAAAGTGTTATTAAATTCTGATTAGGGTTTAAGAAGGTGGAGCAAATACAAATGTGTACTGTAGTGTACATATATGACAAAGTCCATCTCATGCCAAAGTAAACCTCAATAATCATTTGAATGAAATAAAATAGGAAGTATATATGTTTATCAGGTTAGTAAGATTCTTAGAAGAGATTGTCACACATTCTGTCAAGTGGCTCAATAGCAGTTGAGGATACAAATGTGGGACAGGCAGACCAACAAAGGAACTAGCAGACAAATGGATGGACTCCTCCATCACTACGTTTGCCCATTTCAGAAAGCAGGGGGTACAATAAGTCATTTAAACAGCTGTAAAATTATCAAGGCCATAACAACTTTAAATTGGTATGCAATTCTCTGAAAAAATTCTTCAATAAAGATTTAGATTTTTTTTTTCAGCAAATATTTAATCATAAATTTGTGTTTTAACTTCTTTTAGTCTAAATATCCTCAAAATGGGATTGGTAAGAAGTAAACATGCAGTTTGCCACAGCATATATGGTAGAAATTATATAATAATTCAAAATCAAAGAACCTTTAGTGAGCAAGCTCTCACATCCCCACAGTCCTTTATAACTTTTAAATATTATATGTCATGTATATTTTTTAACTATAGAAATCTACACAAAATCTGAGTAACTGTCTAATCTTCAAAAATATTCACTGAGTAGTGAGTAATGTGAAACAAAGACTGCTGGAGTAAAATATTACACAAAATCAATATGTTGCTTTCCCCTGGCAGAAAACAATATGACCCTCTTTTACCAGTAACAAAAGAGCAAACCTGCAAAAGAAGTTCATACTCAATCAAAGCCTAAAAACATATTGTAATAGTTAAAAACTATATTGTGGGTAAGCTAAAGACATTACAAACTTTCAACTGTATCTTTTTTGTACAGACAGACAATTTATGTCAAGATATCTAGATGTAACTTTTGTGTGTAAGTTTACAAAAGTTTTCCTCCCCCAACACTTACCTTCATGTAAGTTGTGGTGATTTGAATGAATGATCAGGTCTAATATTCCATGCCTAAATCTGTTCCCTCCTGCATGTAAAATTGGCATACTTAAACTTCGCTCTGGTCTCTGTAAAAAAAGATAGATTCCAAATAATTTGAATCAGTTTATTGTTTGTTGGTTATGATATGTACTGCCAAGTTAACTGCTGCCATGACATGTCCTGCCAAGTTAACTGCTGTCATGACATGTCCTGCCAAGTTTACTGCTGTCATTACATGTCCTGCCAAGTTTACTACTGTCATGACATGTCCTGACAGGTTTACTACCATCATTGCAAGTACTGACAGGTTTACTACCATCATGACATGAACTGACAGGTTTACCACCATCATGACAAGTACTGACAGTTTTACAGCCTTCATGACATATACTGACATGTTTTCTGGTTTTATGAAAAGTTCTGACAGGTTTACTGATATCATGGCAGGTACTGACAGGTTTATTGCCATCAAGACATGTCCTGACAGGTAAACTTTCATCATTGCATGTACTATTATGTTAACTGTTGTTATGGATAAACTGACAGGTTTACAACTATCAAGACATGTACTGCCAAGTTAACTGCTGTCATGCCATGTACAAACAGGTTTACTGTTGTTATGGCATGTACTGACAGGTTTACTGTAAACATGACACCCACTGATTGTTAACTGCAAACATGACATATACTGACAGTTTTACTGACAACATGACATGTACTGACAGTTTTACTAATATCATAGCATGTACTGAAGGTTTACTGCTATCATGGCATGTACTGATAAGTTTACTGCCATTAACAGATGTTCTGCCAAAGTTATTGCCATCATGGTATGTACAAATTGACATGTATGTCAGGAGGCATCTGTCATGATATGAACTGCTAGACAAAAATCTGTCATGGCATGTATGCTCCTAGAGCAGGAGTCTATCATTGCATGTATTACATGGGATATTATCTGAAAATGCTAATTTTCTCTAAAGCTTGAAGGCTGTCAAATTCCAGATAGTGGTGAAAATGTGGGGAAGTTGTTAATAATTTTCCTTTACATCATCCAAACCAAACAACAACAATCAATTACAATTTCAATTGAATGTTTTCATGAAATAATCGTATTATAAATTTCAAGAAATAAGTGTTCCAGCTACAGACTGTCAATAGAATTTCGTGTCACTTTCAAGGACTGAGTTATCTATAAAAACATTCCTGAACACTCTATTGATTTCCAAAGACATTAATTACATCAGATTACTTTAATTTTTTTCTGATCCAATATTCTTAATGAATCCATAGAATATAGATAATAGGTATGTCTCACTTAATAGAGTTATTACCATGGAAACCAAACAATTGATGACAAATATAAGTAATGACAGTTTAATAAACTCTACTGCTCATTTCATAAAGCTGTAATTAGAAATAAATATTCTGATTTTGTGAAGTTCAGGTTTAACAGGTAATTACAGAGTTAATATAGATCCCAATGCATTACAGGTATATTAGGCATAATGAAATTGAAGTTCAATCTCCGAAGACATAAACTGCAAATTTTACATTCGCAAATTTAGTTAATATATGTATAGCAAACTTCTCCTTTTGAATCTCTATCAAAAATGTCTGTGCTTACTCTGTTCAGACAGAGGTTTGGATAGGTATGGCAATATACTGGGATAGAAAAATCTAGAAGGAATACAATACAGATATCCCCTATAATATTACAATGAAAGCAAGCTTTTATTTGGTCTAAAGTTGCATAAATTGAAGAAAAAATATAATACTATATCTTTTATATGAAATTTTACCAACTATTATAAACAAAACACTTCTTAAACTTTGTGTATCTTTTATACTTTCATTATTATGCTTTCCATAATTGAATTTTTGCCAGAGTCTGTGAGCATCACCCTTAATCATATTTTCGCCACACTATTTAAGATTTTGCTGTATCCCTATAAAAACTACAATGGATTAGTGAAGAATGTATAAAGGGCAGATAAGAGGGTTAGAGGGTCAGTCTTGAAGCCTTAACATATTGAGTTTCTGCAATACACACTGCTAGATCTGAATCTCCTATTGGTGATTTCCTCCACTCAGATAAAGAAAAAGTTATTATTAGTGATTTAAATTCTCTACTATGTATCCCATAATCCAACAAGGAAGTTTAAAGTTATAAAATTAAATTACATGCATTTTTCATAAGAATTCATAATTTTCATTGCAGACAACAATCACAAAATTCATGACTGCTTTTATCTCCAATGACAATGTCCCAACAATGAAAAAGAATACAAAAATCTTGATTCATCTAATAATTTCATGTTTGTAGGCATAAATTGTAAATATAAGAATTGAATGCTTCTCTAAGTAATTTGAAAAGTTTGTAAAAGTGTTGATTGCGTGTATATTTTTAGAATAAAGTGCTTCTGCGTTTCATAAAAAATGTGCATCTCTCAACAAATTTACACCCAATTAAAATTACAAAAAAGAATGATTCATTTCTTCAGACTGGACTTGACTGCAACATAGGCCCCACACTGGCATGTATTTATTAATGCTGCTGTGATTTGTCAATTTTTCATTTCATTTATACAAACTTGGTGTTGTATTCTGTTGTCTGATATGTATTTCTCATTAACGAAATTTATATCTTTAATCTTGATAAGAGATCTATTTGACTGTTTTGATGACAAATGTAGCACTGACATGCATTATTCTACAACAATGCATTATGCAAGATTAGTTATCTGTTTTAATTAATTACTTCAAGGTTAAACAAGAAATTGATTCAATTTCTCATATTTCAATTGTTTTCTGTAAACATGTTATGAGATTTAGGAGAGCTAACAATGATTAAATAGCAGCATGTCAACAGAAGTAAGTTAAATATAAATTATACCACACAACCCCATTGATTACAATATTTATCCACTCAAGATAGGTCAATTTTCAAACATCAAAATGCAATGTTTACCAAGCTTTTCAAAATGGGAAAATTTAACTACGGAGAGTGGATAAATATTGTAGTCAAAAGGGTAAATGGGATGAATGGAAGAATCTGTTTCTTTAATGATTAAATGGAAAGTACTTAATATTTCAATGTTCTGAATGGAAATGGCGGGAAATTATAAGAGACAAATTCAATTAACCAATTGTTTATCAAAATTTATCAAACTGGTCAGAACTGGTTTAAATGCATATTCAAAATTAGTTTTCCAGTTAAAACTCATTAGATGGTCAATACATCTGAAGTATTCAATAATAATTGACTGAAAAGCCTGAATTTTGCATTATGTCATCTGATGCCTTTTGTAGCTTACTTTATTGTATGGTTTTTTAAGGTGACCTGATAGTTGTTCACATCCTTGTTCGTTTGTGTTTGGTGGACAGTTAACTGTCTCATGGGCAATCATACCATGTTATCTCCTTACTTTAATACAATAGTGTACTTCATATTATGCTAAAAAAAGACACTACTCTACAAACAGCCATTATACTAGGGAAACAGTAGGGGCTAGGTTAAAACTGACTGAAAAATAATAACAAGGAAAATAGTTAAATCAGAATGGGATCTACAATAAAACTTAAAAAATTTACGACTTTGATATTCTGTGAGGAATTCAGTAGTAAAAACCCAAAGCTACTTCTTGAACAGGCATATGTCCTTCTCAGCCTCCTTTTATCCCTTCAACGGAAGGCAGGTGTTTATACAATATGTCAGCCTCTATATCACCTTATGTCTAAATAATATCAAATCATGATCTTTCTTTTAAAATGAAGCATGAAAGTGCTTGACTTTTGTATATATAATTACTCATATGCTTGTAGTGCTGTGTACCATATTTAGGTAGGAAGTCAAATTACTAATGTTATTTCCTATCATATGGTGCAAGTTACATATTTATATTTAGAAAGAAAGTCAAATGACAGGCGGTAAATCGTAAAATATTACCTGAATTAATATGCTCTTTTCAAAGGAATAGATTTTTTATGGTAATATTTCAATGTTTCAATATGACTAGTGACTGTTGTCTCATTGCAATGAAAATCAGTATTATACAAATAATTGTAATATATCCAGATTATTTTGATGGTGAACCAATTGAAAATGTCAGAAATTATAAATATCTAGGTGTTATTTTTACCTGCTTCTGGAAGTTTGTCTACGGCTAGATATGATTTGTATCAAAGGGGGTTAAAAGCTTTCCTCAAGTTAAAAAGTACTTTAGAGGAGGATCATTTGTTAAAACAAGCCCTGGTCACGAGTATGGACTCACAAAAATGTAATAAGTCATCTTGGTATTCTAATATTGTATATATTTTAAGATGTATTGATGTTGATATGGAAAGTTTTGACATTGAAAAGGTTAAAAATATTTTGATTATTAGATATAAGATTTAGTGGAAAAATACTATAGACGATAATGCAAATGTTAAAAAAGGAAAATTGTGTATTTATTTCAAATTTAAAAACATCTTCAAAAGGGAAGCATATTTATGTCAAGTTAATAAATTTCAGTTTCGAAAAAGCTTAACTCAATTTAGAATCAGTGCTCATCAGTTAGCTATTGAGAAAGGTCGATATAAAAAAATGTATTAAGATAAAAGAATTTGTGGGCAGTGTAAAAATATGCAGGTTGAAGACAAGTTTCATTTTTTAATGGAATGCACTGCATATGAAAAGGAAAGGAATTTTATTCTTAATGAAGCAAGCATTCAATGTAAAAACTTCCCTTATATTTCAAAGTACAAACAGTTTATTTGGTTGATGTCCTGTGAGTCTGAAAATGTTAATATGTCAATGTCAATGTCAAGATTTATTACGACTTGTTTTGAAATAAGAGAAAATTTGCATTCAAGAAACTAAATATACATGTAGCAATGATGTAGTTTATTTTTATGTATTAGAGAGGGTTGATATTCTATTTTATTTATTTTCAAACACCATCTGGTATGGAGTATAGTTATTTTATCATTTATTTTTAATGTAATATATCTTAAAAATTGCTGTATAATTAATACTATATATATGTATATGTCGAAAACGGGCCCTTTAATTGGATTCAATAAATATTCTTATTCTCTTATTCTTATTCTTATTAATTCACATACAAACCTCTTGTGTTTCCACTTTGTTGCATCGTTTCTTCAAGCAGCTTTTTACTCTGTCTTCAATTTGTCCATTAAACTTCATGAAAAGAACATAAGCAACATATCCAAAAAATAATATCAACGCTTCGTACCAATGTATGATCTCATCGTAAAAAAAACCAATTAGTAATATTAAGTCTATACTGTAAAACGTCACATCTCGGAATAATGGCCACCATGTCAGATTCAAAACTGTTTTACTAAATATAGCACACATACCAATCACAAATAAAATATTGAACACAGCAGATCCAACAATTGTTCCAATACCCACGTTATTCTTGGCAAAAAAGATTCCAAAAAGACTTGTAAAAAGTTCTGGAGCACTACCGCCAGCAGCCATAAAAGTTGCCCCAGCTACATCCTCGGTTATTTTAAATCTCTCTATTATAACTCCAAGAGATGGGACAAAGAACTCATCACATACAATTGCCAACGCTATAAACATATATATCAGTCCAATCACATGTAAGACCACGGCACCATTCTTTAATTGTTCATCTGTAAATGCATCTGGAGGATAAAGACTATCATCTGAGTCTGATGTATTTAAAAGTCTCCTTGAAGCAAAGTGTGTATCTTCTGCGATATATCCAACATTCCCTTGTCTATAATTAGCAAATAAGAATATAAAAAATGCAGTACACAGTGATCCAAAAAGCATATACAAGCGCACCTTTCTTGATTGTTTTCTTAGAGCTTTGTTCCGTAGCATGATTCTTGATTATATTATTACAAAATTCGAGTAAAATAGAGTTAAATTTTCAACTGACAGAAGTGGTAAACAATAAAATTTCAAAATGGACTTTCTTTTAAGGAGGTAACCATTCCATTGCTTATCTGCAGGTCATGAACTTTTGTCAACTTTATGCTGCTGTAGTAACAAGTCTATTTTCATTATTCTGTCTTCCTGGTATTTCTACTGAATTGACTCTGCCTGAAAGAACAAAAATAATATATAGTTATTTTACTAGTTAAGCTTCATTAGTTTTTATATTTTTATTGTTGACACACATACTTTAAAAAAAATCTATGACTATGGAACATCTGTAATCTGATTCAAACATTGGGTAAATGTTATGACTATATTAAATGTTATTGTTGATACTTATATGTTACCCACAGATATCTTTTAGATATTGTATAGACACCTGTCTATTGTTGATACCTATATGTTGCCCACAGATGTCTTTTAGATATTGTATAGACACCTGTCTATTGTTGATACCTATATGTTGCCCACAGATGTCTTTTTGATATTGTATAGACACCTGTCTATTGTTGATATTGTATAGACACCTGTCTATTATTGATGACTGTATGTTGCCTACAGATGTCTTTTGTATATTGTATAGACACCAGTCTATTGTTGATACCTATATGTTGCCCACATTTTAGATATTGTATAGACACATGTCTATTGTTGTTGATACCTATATGTTGCCCACATTTTAGATATTGTATAGACACATGTCTATTGTTGTTGATACCAATATGTTGCCCACATTTTAGATATTGTATAGACACCTGTCTATTGTTGATACCTATATGTTGCCTACAGATGTCTTTTGGATATTGTATAGACACCTGTCTATTGTTGATACCTATATGTTGCCCACATTTTAGATATTGTATAGACACCTGTCTATTATTGATGACTGTATCTTGCCCACAGATGTCTTTTTGATATTGTATAGACACCTGTCTATTGTTGATACCTATATGTTGCCCACAGATGTCTTTTTGATATTGTATAGACACCTGTCTATTGTTGATACCTATGTGTTGCCCACAGATATTGAATAGACACCTGTCTATTATTGATGACTGTATCTTGCCAACAGATGTCTTTTGGATATTGTATAGACACCTGTCTATTATTGATGACTGTATGATGCCAACAGATGTCTTTTGATATTGTATAGACACCTGTCTATTATTGATGACTGTATGTTGCCTACAGATGTCTTTTGGATATTGTATAGACACCTGTCTATTGTTGATGACTGTATGTTGCCAAACAGATGTCTTTTGGATAATGTATAGACACCTGTCTATTATTGATGACTGTATCTTGCCAACAGATGTCTTTTGGATATTGTATAGACACCTGTCTATTATTGATGACTGTATCTTGCCAACAGATGTCTTTTGGATAATGTATAGACACCTGTCTATTATTGATGACTGTATGTTGCCTACAGATGTCTTTTGGATATTGTATAGACACCTGTCTATTATTGATGACTGTATGATGCCAACAGATGTCTTTTGATATTTGCATTTTTGGGTTGCTGTTTCAGAGTTTTATATCCTGCATCTCCAGTTATTACTACTATGGAGGTGTTTAAGAACCTTGACTTTTAACATCAACAATCAAATGTCATGATTCTGAACTCCATTTTCATTAGATAAACTTGAATCAAAGTCCATAATTGGGTGAATATGTAACTGAATTGGATTATTGCCATGTGATATAAATCTATTATATTCAAATTGAAATACTATATTCCAGGTTATTGAAAAACTAACTTCTACCTTATTGAAAAACTATATTCCACCATATTGATATATTATATTCTATCTTATTGAAAATCTATATTCCACCTCACGATACGCCCATCGCATTTTCAATGAATAAAGTTCCATTACTCCTCAATGTAATATCACAAGTTTATTAAAAACTATAGGGAGCTTATTTTCATAGATATAAACCATTCACCAAAGTTTCATGAAAACTGCTCAAAGCATTTTTGAGTTATTGTCTGAAAACTGGAAAATTCACCCCTTTTTTATGAATAAAATCCCATAACTTGGAAATGTAAAATCAAAAATTTATAAAAATCTAAAGGGAGCTTCCATCAATAGATATAAACAATTCACCAAAGTTTCATGAAAATTGGTTAAAGTGTTTTTGAGTTATTGTTCAACATGTTGACAACGGACGGACAGACAGACTGACATACAGATTGACAACGGTATACCATAATACGTCCGGTAAACGGACATATGATAAACTGCTTCGCTGAGCGCAGCTGGATACGCCCGCAGAGGTCCAACCCTGAACAGTTTGGGCAAAAATGGACACAATATTCAAGCTTGATACAGGTCTGAATTTGGATTGTAATTAAATATTTGACATATTATAGGTTTCTTATTCAGAATAAATGTAGTCAAAGAACTTGAAATTGGTTATATGAATTGAATTTTATAATATTAAATTAAAGATTTCTTGCTGTTGTGCAATACACTGTGCTGTTGCGCAATACTTAGTAAATCTGTTGTCAGACTATAAACAAATAAAGGGAGGTTATCTTAATAGATATAAACCAGGCATGAAAGTTTAATGAAAACTGCTCAAAGCACTTTAAAGGTATTATCAAAAAACTGGAAAATTCCCCTTTTTTTAATGAATAAAACCCCATAACTCGGAAACATAGTATCTAAAATTTATAAAAATCAAAAGGCAGCTTACATCAATAGATATAAACAATTCACCAAAGTTTCATGAGAACTGCTGAAAGCATTTTATAGTTATTGTCCGAAAACTGGAAAATCCCCCTTTTTTTAATGAATAAAACCCCATAACTCGGAAATGTAAAATCTAAAATTTATAAAAATCAAAAGGGAGCTTACATCAATAGATATAAACAATTCACCAAGGTTTCATGAGAACTGCTGAAAGCATTTTTGAGTTATTGTCCGAAAACTGGAAAATCCCCCTTTTTTTAATGAATAAAACCTCATAACTCGAAAACATAAAATCTAAAACTTATAAAAATCGAAAGGGAGCTTATGTCAATAGATAAAAACAATTGACCAAAGTTTCTTGCAAATTGGAGAAACCATTTTTTAGTTATTGTCCGAAAACTGGAAACCCCCCTTTTTATAATGAATAAAACCCCATTTCTCTGAAACGTAAAATCTAAAATTTATGAAAAACGAAAGGGAGCTTTTGTCAATAGATATATACAATTCACCAAAGTTTTATGCAAATTGGGTAAAGCGTTTTTGAGTTAATGTCCGACATGTTGACGACGGACGGACAGACGGTCAACGGTATACCATAATACGTCCCGTAAACGGGCGTATAAAAACTATATTCCACCTTATTTAAATACTATATTCCACCTTATTGAAAAACTATATACATACCACCTTATTCAAAAACTATCTTCCAACTTATTGAAAAAGTAATTATTCCACCGTAGTAAAAAAAATATATTCCACCTTATTGAAAAACTATATTCCACCTTATTGAAAAACTATATTCCACCTTACAGAAAAACAATATTTCACATTATTTAAATACTATATTCCACCTTACTGAAAAACTATCTTCTGTCCTATCCATTAAAAAAAAGTACTAATCATTACCTTACATAATATTACTTCACTAAGTCCATTGTTTCATAAAAACACATATATTTTGAACTCATCCACAAATAGTTAATTCATTGAAATATTATGTTTTCATAACGATTACTAAAATTTCAAAATAGTTTTCCTATTAATGAGTTATGATGTATTTTACATGGAAATAAACTCCAATTTGATGCATTTATATAGAAGTTTCAAATGAACAGGTATGATAGTTCTATTAGTACTCTGAAAATAGTGAAAAATGAAAACTAAACAACATTGGCATTTCCTGTACTTAAATCCATAAGCTAATCAATTCTATATTAAATTTCAAATCATAGTGTAGGATATATTTTTCAAAATAGAGCTAAAATCCATAAAATTGTCAATTTAAAACAAATTTCAAAGACAATTTAATGACAATATATTAGATAGCAAAATCTATACAGCTACAACAATTTGAATTGGATATGAAGTATACAATTGATTATGTTATGGTAATGCCTGAGTTCCAAGTTCCACGTATTGATGGTTAAATTGCTAGAATTGAAGTTCAACTGGTTACTTTGAAATCAGAGGCAGTTGCAATCATTTAAAAATTAATTCATATAACTATTCTATCTTTTCTTAAATATTTTATATCCCTATATTGCCATCATTATTTGAAATCAGTGTAAGTTCCAACAAACATTAACATAATTATAGTACTTGGTGATTTTGAAATATGTATTTAAAGTTATCCTTTCCTATCTGGTCACTTAATAATGAAAATAAGAATCCCAGGATATAAAAAAAACAAACTATTTTCTTATAATTATCTCAAATTTATCAAATCAAGAAGACTTTTTTTTAATCTAAAAAAAAAAAAGATTTATTGAAGATACTGAATCTTTTTGAAGATGAACAACATGTACATTTATCAGTTACAAATCTTTATTGTTATATTTCATCATTGTTCTCTGTTTAGTTTTTAACAAAATAGATAAAAGCAAGAAATGAACAAAAGTGGGTACCAAAACACACAAGGAAGTATTGGAACACAGGTGAGTATCAAAACACACAAGTAAGTATTGGAACAAAGGTGGGAATCAAAAACACAAGTGGGTACCTGAACACAGGTGGGTATCAAAAACACAAATTGGTACCTTAATACAGGTGAGTATCAAAACACAAGTTGGTACCTGAATACAGGTGGATATCAAAAACACAAGTGGGTACCTGAATACAGGTGGGTATCAAAAACACAAGTGGGTACCTGAATACAGGTGAGTATAAAAAACACAAATTGGTACCTGAATACAGGTGAGTATCAAAACACAAGTGGGTACCTGAATACAGGTGAGTATCAAAACACAAGTGGGTACCTGAATACAGGTGGGTATCAAAAACAGAAGTGGGTACCTGAATACAGGTGGATATCAAAAACACAAGTACCCAAGTGGGTACCTGAACACAGGTGGGTATCAAAAACACAAGTGGGTACTTGAACACAGACAGATACCAAAAACACAAGTGTGTACCTGAACACAGGTGGATTTCAAAATAAAATTGAGGATGGAAAAGGGGAATGTGTCA